TAGTCAGAAACAATCTCATTTAATAACACTGAAACTAATAAAAGGGGGGGAAAGTATCCAACTTATTCAAAATTGAATTTATGAATATTGCTTAGCAGGATTAATGATCAAAACCCCCAAACCTGTTTGTCATGTTATTACTGTATTTTTCCCCATTTAAATGCAAAACCAGGAAGTCAATGAGTGTCTTGGATTGCATATTGTGTTGAAGAACACACATAAGCTCAGAAATGGCGATAAACTTTAATTACGAGGTCAGGTAATCAAATTAAAATCAAACGGCCTTGCATAAAATCTGTGTTTGAAATTAATCGGATACAATTCTACAGTTCTCTACTACTGCACCTCTAAAACGTATGGAGATGTATTTCATTTTCATTTTAAAGTCACCTTAAGTACTTTTGAGTTCTACGTAGCTTTCTTTGAGTTGGAAAGTTTTGCATCTGCAATAATTTCTGCCTATCATCTAGAAGTTGTTTTTTTATTGATCATTGGATATCTTTAAAAGCCAGCGTTTCATATCGAACAAAAATATTATTTTTAAAATGAGGATATATTGCTTAGTAAGGAGGCACAGTGAACGCATGGACAAGGTATTCATGATGCAATTATCCTTGTAGCAGAGCTGAACAAGCTTGTGATCCTAAGCTGGTTTACAGCTTGTTAAGACTCATGCATGCAGAACAAAATAGGATGCTGTTGTCAATGTATTGTTGCATTGCAATACGTAAATAGTTATACTATATAAACCATCCTGGATACATGGCCAAAGGACAATATATACCTTCTTTAATTTATTAAGCATAACAAAATATTTCACAATAAACAACTCTCTGCAAGCAGAACTTTTCCTCCTTGATATACTAGCTTTTTATTAGCAGGGTGTAATTTATGAAGGGCAAGTGTGGCTAATTCTCGTTTGGGAGTTCTCAACTTCCCCAAGCAAATTTCTCAAAACACCCCTCAGACCCTACCAATTTTGTTGACAGCAGAAAAATAAAATAAAAATAAAAATAAAGCAGCAATGCCACTGGGACAGGTTGAACTCAGTGCCTTGATAACCTGGATGCAAGTTGCTCCCTATGTGGCCATCAGATCAAGAATTTGGTGAGTGGAGAAACCCAACTTCTCAGCTGATTTGCATGAATTGGTTGAGGGGGGGAGGGTCTCTCTCTCTGTGTGTGTGAGAGAGTGAGGGTTGGCCACACCTACTTTTGTTTATCCCTCTAGTGGGATACAGCCCCCAGATGGATCATTCATAAACTGTCACACTGACTCACCAGGACTGAACATCCAGAACTGGCTCATCAAATTTTGTGATTTGGCACTGATGGAGAAGAAAACCAAAGGCAAATTCTCAACAATTGGTGGTGCATTCAAAGGACTATTGTGTTACTTCTCCTTGGGATGTATGGGGTGTTAGGGGTGGGGTAGTATCTCTGGTGGGGGACACATTGTGCTCCTTCTGGGGCAGTTTGTCACCTTTGGTACCCATCCTGCACTCAGCTTTCACCTGTGGATTCTAGAGGCTGTCAGCATGTGGCAGCAGCCACACCCCAGGAATGGCTTTGACTGGCTGGCTAACCCAGGTGAGGGCAGCTGATGGGTCTCAAACCCTCATTGAGTTAGGGACTTCGACTGCATATGAAGACAGGCTTCAGTGGATTGAGCAGATTGAGCAATAGTGGAACCAACAGTCAAGAAGGCAGTTTCTGCTTGTGCTGTAGAGGGAAGTGAAAAGTTTGTTATGACTTAAATTCCTGTTCATCTGACAGACTGGCATCCATTAATGAAAGGATGGAAACACACAACTCTTCAGAGAAGCAAGTCCCATTGTGTGCAATGGGACTTACTCCCAAGTTAACATATATAAGATTGCAGCAGAAATATACAAAGGCAGTTTTGTACTTCACAGTTCCAAGAAAGTATCTATGCAGTTAAACGGCTGGGGAAGTGTGTGAGACAGCTTGCAGTTCATTTTATCTTGGCTGTAGATGGAGCCATAACACCATCTTTATGGCAGCGAGGTAGTACTTTGTGACAGAAATATCTGAACAAGGCATTCGACGTTCAAGAACGCTTACCTGGACATAAATTTACTCACATATTCCTTGTTTTATCTCTCTTCTTCTTCTCCTTCTTTTTTTTTTTGGGGGGGGGAATATGCTTAATTACTATCTGTGCCTACTCACACATTTATGCAGTAATAAGTCCAATTGATTTCAATGTGTCTTCTTGCCAGGGAATTGGATACAAGATGGCAACCTCAGGACAGAGGTCGATTTAGAGCAGTGCTGAGTCGAGGGGGGTGCCCCAAGGTGTTACAACTATGACATAGTGCATGCACAGAACGAAAGGCGAGAGGCAGAGGTTGCCAAATTCTGGCCTTGCACAGGGCACCGCTGAAATTGGAAATACAGAAGTCCACCCCTCAGGAAAAGTTATATTCTCAACCGAAGTACAGATTAGAAGCAAAGGAGAAAAGGAAATATTATCAGCTATTATGTCCAGCAGTGACCTCCAATAGGCCAGACAAAGGCAGAAGGCCAACATTCTGGTATGTATGGCTGGGTCACAAAATCCAGTGACTTCACACAGCCTGCCTATTCCAGAGGTGAATGAAGCATAGCTGTACAGACACACCATACATTAAAAGCACATGGCTTCACTCAATGCTTTTTTTCTGGGGGTACGCATACCCCTAAACATTTTGTGAATCTTTATATTTTTGTCCATTTACTGTATTTATTTTTCCCAATTTGAACTATAAAATGGTGATATTCTTGAGTCAAAATGAGAGTAGTCCTAAACATTTTTTTTAAAGAAAAAAAGCACTGGCTTCACCCAAAGAATCATGGGAATGGTATTATTATTATTATTATTATTATTATTATTATTATTATCAATTGAATTTATATACTGCCCTATACCCGGAGGTCTCAGGGTGGTTCACAGAATAAAATAAAAATATAAAACCACAAAATACATCATTGAAATAAAAGCAACAACCCAATACTCCTCCCCTCTCCAAACACACAAACACACAATTTTAAAAGGGCATAGGATGTCAATCAAATCAACCAAAGTCCTGGTTAAAAACAAACGCTTTTGCCTGGTGTATAATGAAGGCGCCAGGTGAATTTCCCTGGGGAGAGCATTGCAGAGACGGGGAGCCACTGCAGAGAGGCCCATTTTCGTGTTGCCACCCTCCAGACCTCTCTTGCATGAAGGGCCTCAGAAGATGATCTCAGGATCTGAGTAGGTTTGTATGGAAAGAGACGGTTCTTGAGGTAATGCGGTCCTGAGCCGTTTAAGGCTTTATGGGTCAAAACCAGCTCTTTGAATTGGGCCTGGAAACTAACTGGTAGCCAGTGCAGTCGGACCAGGATCGGTGTAATATGCTCAAACCATCTTGTTCCAGTGAGCAACCTGACCACTGAATTCTGCACTAGCTGAAGTATCCGAACCATCTTCAGAGACAGCCCTACGTTTAACACATCACAGTAATCTAACCTTGGTAGTTTACCCCTCAATTCCCAGGACCCACTACAAACTACCATTCCCAGCAGGGTAAGCCCATCACATCTCACTGCCTGAGGTGATACAAGAAGTTGCCTCCCCAGCTGTCCCACCAAAGCCTTGCATACAGAATCACACAGCTTTGAGCGGTCCACGAGACCTCGCCAGAACCCAGAAGCCACCACCTCTTCTCCTCACTGCTCCAGGCACAGGGCATGCTGCCCCTTGGATTCTGCTGCCAGAGGCAGCTGCCTCAGTCCACCTCATGAACAGGCCAGCCCTGATTCCCAGGCTTCTTTGGGGAAAGCCATTTGCTTTAAATGTACAGGGTGTGTGCAAATCAAACTCTTTCCCCCACTCTTTCCCTACAATAATTTATCTGCTCAAGATCCCATCCTGGTGCAGCAGTCCAAAATACATTATGTGAGGAGAACTTGCTTCCAGAAACATGTGCATTAGTCAAAACTGCTTAGAGATGTCTGTTAATTAGGAGAAATTCGCACTAAAATGCAGAAGAGTTTTCAGGAGGATTTAATTTTAATTTTTGCAATTGCTGCAGAATTGTGGATTTTGGATTGGAAGGAGGAGAAATGGAATTAACTGAACTTGACAGACCCTCCCATTGCTCCCGGTGCCCCTTGCCCAACCTACATCAATTGGGCCCAAAAAAGTTGTGTCCTGTGGGTGAATCAAAGCAAGGCAGGGTCACAAAGGATGCAGCACCTTCCCAGTCCCCCAACATGCCCCAAAATCAGACCTGTAAAAAAAACAACAACATACTTTTGTCCCCACTTCCACTCTGCTGGTGCAACCTAGCAGGGAATTGATTGAAGAGATATACAGTGGTACCTCGGGTTACATACGCTTCAGGTTACAGACTCCGCTAACCCAGAAATAGCACCTCGGGTTAAGAACTTTGCTTCAGGATGAGAACAAAAATCGTGCTCCGGTGGCGCAGCAGCAGCAGGAGGCCCCATTAGCTAAAGTGGTGCTTCAGGTTAAGAACAGTTTCAGGTTAAGAACGGACCTCTGGAAAGAATTAAGTACTTAACCCGAGGTACCACTGTAACCAGCTTCTCCTTTCTAGGATTGCATCCCTGGGAGTAGGGATGGAGGGGCAATTTGTTTGGGTGCATTTTAATAAGAAACTCCCTAATCCACACTTCTTGGACCAGTATGTGAACTGAAACATGGCTGTCCTTTGAAATTTTCACTTTAAAAGAAAAGGCAATATAATTTATGAAGTGATATGTACAAAAGTGTGCCTATTAGGGGAACCTTCCCCTTAGAAAGAGAGAGGGCAGGTAATGGTAGCTGTTGCTTGCTGCGCAGCGGGGCATAGGTAAGTAAGTGGGTCATCCTGGGATGCTGGACTTTGGCAATTGCCAAAGGATGCCAGCTCTTGACACCTAACCCTGGCCATAAACCCAATTCACCCATGCAGACCTGTTCAGACTCTCTGCCAATAATTAAGACAAAGAGGGAAGCACAAATCCAGCCAGGATTGAACCTAGGACCTTCTACGTGGAAGGCAGATGTTCCACCACTGAGCTATGTCTGCTCCCCAAAATACTGTCCATGCACTGAGCCCCCTGATGGGGAGAACTGAAGATTGCAGTGGAATCTGCTAGTTTATTGATTTATGGCAAAACAGGCTAATTCGTGACACATTTTTTGGAGTGGTGGGAATGATTTGTTGAAAGTGCAGAACCTTCTGGATGTCATTAAAGGCTGATTATAATATAGACACTAACTGTAAGGAAGGCAAAAAGTATTGAGGCAAGCATCCAAATCCCACTGAAGGAGTGCTGGGAAATTTTCAGCAGAGCTTCTGTTCTCCCATGCTCTGATGGGAGTTGTCTTGGAAAGAAGCGACTAACCTTCCGCCCTCCTGGATGCACTGATGGGGGGGGGGGGGAAGAAGCAAATCCTGCAAAATTTATTTCTTGTGGACAGGGCCAACCTGACACATTTTGCTACTTGAAGCGAAGAAGAAGGTGACACCCTCACATTTGGAATCAGACTGGACAAGTTGAATCTTACTTCATAACTGTTCATGGGACAATATCATCCACTGTACTGAAGGCAAGGGCCACATCCACACCTTACATTAAAAGCAGCATTATCCCATTTTAAGTCATGGCTTCCTGCAAAGAATCCTGGGTGTCATGAACTGGCAGAACAATGGGGAGGAGGAAGAGGGACACACCGAGGCAAGACGGGGATGGGAAGGAAGTACTCACAGGGTGACAGAGGACAGCGAGGGGATAGGGGTCAGTGTACAGGAACCAGAGCAGCAGGACCCATCAACAGAGCCAGAGGGGCCCCTGTCTCCATGAACATGGTGGGCTCTGAGGCTTAGGGAGCAGGGGGTGGGGTGCTCCAGGAGGCCAAGGTATGCAAGGGCCCACAGCCCAGTTCCCTAGCTGGCTAGGTGGGTCTTGCTAGCTTTGGGAGGAGGTGTGTGATGCCTCAGCTGGAGTAGGCTCAGAAAAGGTAAGGGTCACGTGCCTCATCAAGCCCAGATCCTGCAGTCAGCAGGCAAAGTATAAAAGGGAAGCAGAGCTGAGGTGCTATGTCTGTTCAGCTGCCCATGTTGATGGGCCTTAACTTGGATGTTCCTGCACGTCCAGGGGATTGTGCTTCGGGTTTGACTCTGGACTGTACCCTGACTGCTGGACTTTGGACTTGGCTACTTGGATCGACCCTGAACCTTCTTTCCTGACCTTTGGACTTCGCTTGTGTGGATCAACCCTTGGATTTTGAACTTGGCATACTGACGTCGTTTGTCAGATTGTTCTGTTCCAGTGGGTCTATTTTGAGTAGGATAACATTGGAGGCAGAATAAGCTATTTGTTTCCCCACCCCTGCCCCTCCCTGGCACTCCTCTGTCTACATAGGACAACCCCCCTCCACTGTACATATATATGCCATCCTTTATCTCTTCATTTTTGGTTCTCTCCCTTTCTCTTGTTCCAGACCTCTCAGTCTTTCTGCTTTACTCTATCAATCTTCATCAGCGAAAAGACGATGGATAGGGAGGCTGTTTTATTGGGGGAATAATCAGAGCTCATCTCGCAACCCAGTTTTGGTCCCAATCCTCTAGTAGTTGAAAACACCAAACTAGTAGTTAGAGAGTGTCCCCACCCTGGTAGCCCTATTGGAATTTAACCAAGGTGTGGTAAAACATTGGCCGAGTGGCCCACATTCCCTCACTTGATGCTATCACATTAAGCAGAAAGAGTCCATGAGTAGAAACCCCCTCACAAAGCATAATGCCAAGATCTGAATGGAGCATCTATTCCTACCTTAAGAAAAAGATCAATGTCTATTTATAGTGACTGGTTATGATTATAATACATGCTCTCTTGATTACAAAAATATCAAGACGGTATGGTTTTGCTTAATCTATGCTTAGTGTAAGCTAATAAAGCTGTCTGATAATGCTTCTGTTTAATTAGACAAACACTTGTGGGTATTTTGAAAGAACAAATGCCATCTCATTTAGGGGCATAATCACAGCCAAACCCATTATAAATAGCTTCCAAATAATGGTGGATTCTGATGTGCTCAAATAAACAGTGGATGCATATCACAGTGCAATATTTGTAAAATGCAAACTATAAGGTAATAATAAAATACAACTATTGCAAACATTCCCCCCTCTGTATGCTTTATTTATTTATTTATTTATTTATCCTGCCTTTCTCCCAGTGCACGATCCAAGGCGGCACACAGCATAAATTAAAACTGGTAACAACTAAAACACACACAATAATTTTTTTTTTTAAAAAGCAATAAAATAAGCAACCCTATAAAAACAGCACTGAAAAGCTTTAAAAAGCACACAGAAAAGCACAACACTGAACCTCAGATGATTCTGCCATAGCAGCCAATTAGTGGCCAAAGGCCTAGAGGGTGAGGAATGTAATTGTCTGTTGGCAAAAGGAAAGCAGCGAGGGGGCCAGCCTAGCCTCCACAATCTGGGAGCAGCCACTGAGAAGGCCCTTCCTCATGTCCTCATCAAAGCTTCCTGTGAGGTTGGCAGGACCTATGGAAAGGCCTCCCCAGAACACCTCAGAGCTGTATTACTGCACATCCTTACTTTGGAATAAGGCCTATTGAGATCAGCATGATTTACTTCCTAATATACATGCAAATGCAGCCTTGTTAGGGCCTTGTTTTGAGATATACAGCAGCATTCTTGGATTTCCTTAGGAAAACAGATTACTTGTAATCAATCACATACCACATTTCTCTCAGTCGCAGTGGCCAATGACCCTGCAGGAATGGCTCTGTTATCGTATAGAAAAATGATCACTCTGCCTATTATTGATTGGCCCTGAGTATTCAGAATCCAGAGGCTTCCCTTTGTTGGCTTAAGAATGAAATTTTGCTTTCCTGAGGGGGGGGAAAACTATTTTCTTTTCTCTCTCTCCATAAGGAAATAATTCTACGTTCTATCACGGTGCCAGTTTGACTGAATACATTAAGGGGAGAAAACCCTGTATTGTGCTAAATCCACAGAAATCCTGGGCGGATTGTTATTCAAACATGTGTAAGTGATGTTTTGTGTTTGAAACCACTGATGTTGGACTGCAAACAATAGTGTCATTTTGCAGAAGAAGAGTCATATGCGTTGGTATGAAGAGTTACCTTTTTCTTCACAGACATGGGGCTGTGTGGATTGTCCACACTTTGACCATGTCCGGACGATAATAGCTCAGCTCACGAAACTGGGGTCTTCACAAGCCTTTGGCTGTGTGTCCCTTTCACCTCTCCCTTTGTGGAAGCTACAATTCAACTAGGAAGTTTCCAATTAACCAGATTCCTATGTCATTCGAACCAGAAAGCAAAGACTATTAGCACTGGTGGCTCATCAGCGGAGGCAGAAGCAGCCATGGCCTCCTGGGATGGGTGAAGTGGCAGTGATGAGGTCAGGACAGCTCTGAGTTGGTGACAGCAGCTTCCGCAAGCCAGAGGCCCCCCAACCTTGCTTCACCCTATTCCTGTCAAGCATGCCACCACCATAAAGTTACCACTGCCTCTGTGACCCTGCACAAGCCACTGCTGATTATCGGCTTTAGTACATGTGAAGGGCTTGAAACTCCAAACAATAAAAAAGGAGATGGGAAACTCTAGTTAATCAGAGACTTTGGGGTTGAATTGCCTGTGCCATGAATGAGGAGCAAAGGGAGGGTGTATATGAAAGACCTAATCACCCCTGCTCTGAAAAACAACCACCACCACCTCCCTTGCATTCTCCTTTCACCCTTCACTGGACGGACAATGGCACAAGACCCTTGAAAACTTGTAGCTCTGAGTCCATATCAGCAGCTCCTAAAGCATTGCAAGATAGGAACTGTGGCTTGAAAAAAAATATGCACACTAAAAGTCTGGCAATCTACCTTTTGTCCAGGGAATAACCTCCTCTTGTGTAAACACAGAGTTTATTTATTCACGCGCACACACACACACACACACACACACACACACACACACAGTTCCATCAATCAATCAATCAATCAATCACTCAACCTCCTTTATTGGCATAGAAAAGTTAAACACAGCAAGCACACTACAAACCAGCACTATTCAACTTTAAACTGCGAAATCTAGGTCTAGTTAAGCTTTGATAGTAATCACTGAATTTAATTCCATTCATCTGGGCTCTCCAGGTTCCTTTATTAAGTTGATATAAGGAAAGCAATAGCAAACCGTTGTAAATTGGAAGATGCAACACTGCCAACAATCTGAAGAAAAATAATCTGAATAAACCACATTTGGAAACCATAATAGCTGTCAGGGTCTCTCTGTTTACATGTTGGTGGCTGGGAATTATTATTCATAACAAAGAGCAAAGTTCTGTAATTAACACAAATGTTTTTCACATCCCTACTGCAAGTGGGCTTCTGTCCATAGCTCCCTTTGCTGAGTAGAGGGGAGCATTTAGGGGAGCTGTAGCTTGGTGATAAGCACATGCTTGGCATGCAGAAGGCCCCAGGTTCAATCCCCAGCACTCTAGGTAGGACTAGGAATGGCCCCACCCAGTCTGAAATCCCAGAGAGCTGCTGCCAGGAAGAGTAGGATATGGAAGTCATCTGAAGAAATACTGGACCTAGATTAAAGGTAAAGGTAAAGGGACCCCTGACCATTAGGTCCAGTCGTGACCGACTCTGGGGTTGCGGCGCTCATCTCGCTTTATTGGCCGAGGGAGCCGGCGTACAGCTTCCGGGTCATGTGGCCAGCATGAATAAGCCGCTTCTGGCGAACCAGAGCAGTGCACGGAAACGCCGTTTACCTTCCCGCCGGAGCGGGACCTATTTATCTACTTGCATTTTGACGTGCTTTCAAACTGCTAGGTTGGCAGGAGCAGGGACCAAGCAACGGGAGCTCACCCCGTCATGGGGATTCGAACCGCCAGCCTTCTGATTGGCAAGTCCTAGGCTCTGTGGTTTAACCCACAGCGCCACCCATGTCCCATGGACCTAGATTAGGAGTGGTGAAGCCCTCCAGGTGTTGTTGGGACTCCCAATTCCCATCAGCCCCAGCCAGCACAGCCAAAGGTCAGAGATGGGGGGAAGTTGCAGCCCAACATCTGGTGGGCACCAGGTTGGGGTAGACAGTGCAGGACAAGATGGAGCACTGGCTCACCTACCTCAGCATTGTGTGCAGTACCCTTCAACCATCTTTAAGTAAAACTTCTTCTTACCATATACTTTTATAGTGCTGCTGCTGCTGTTGTTGTTGTTGCAAACTGCCTTAGGGCCAAGCTATGACCCAGCTAGAAACTCCAACCCACCTGTCAATGACCAGTGGTTTATAGTAGGAAAGAGGAGCTTGCTGCTCTCCAGATGTTGTTGGAGTCCATTGGTTCCAGCTCATACAGCAAATTATCGGGGTTGACGGAGGTTGTAGTCAAACATAACCACATTTCCTATTCCTGAAATGACTAGCAAAGGTTCTTCCAAGGATTCCAAAAGGGGTCTTTCCCAGCCCTATCAGGAGGTGATAGAGACACAGCCTGCAATACTCTGCACGGAGGTTCGTCTTTAACCTGAAACTGTTCTTAACCTGAAGCACCACTTTAGCTAATGGGGCCTCCTGCTGCTGCCACACCGCCGAAGCACAATTTCTGTTCTCATCTTGAAGCAAAGTTCTTAACCTGAAGCACTATTTCTGGGTTAGCGGAGTCTGTAACCTGAGGCGTATGTAACCCAAGGTACCACTGTATGAGGCAACCAGTCAAGTTGTGCATTCACAGCAGTGCTGGTAGCAGTGGAAGAGAGAATAAATGTCATGGTGCATCTGCAGCAGCACAACCAGCCTTCATCTGCCCCAGCTGCAACAAAATATGTCTCTCCTGTATCAGTCACTACAGCCACAGCAAGCACTATGACTGTCCAACAGTTTGACTTCACCTCTCAAAGGTATACTCCTGCATTGTCTCCCGAGACACAGAGATGCATGCCAACCCACTCAGCCACAATGCCCTGCAATATTTTTGCTCCAGGTGAATTTATGACTTTTACACTTCCACCTTCAGTTGGCAAAGGCTAAATGCCAAGTCTTAAATTGTACACAGCTCCTGCTTGAGGATTTTCTGGAGGTATCTGGATGGACACTGGAACAAGATGCTGGACTAGGTGGGCAAGTGGCCTGATGCAGCAGGCTCTTCTGACATTAGGTTAAAACTGCAGATGCCTAAGCAAAATGAGAATTAACAACTTCCCAATTTTACCATCTAGTACAGCCTAAAAGGTTTATTTCAGAAAATAGTGTCCAACTAAGTTCTACTCACAGTAGACTCATAGAAATTAATGAACCTAAGTTAATCATGTTTATCAATTTCAATGAGTCTAGGACTAACATTGGACACAACCCATTCCTGTTAATTGGTGTGTGGAAAGCAGTTTTTTATGGCATAGGTTGCAATCCTACCCCCCACTCCATCTTGTTTGGAAATAAACCCCTTTGAATTCAATTGGATTTACTTCAGGATTAGGATTGCAGCTTTAGTTACCAGATGGCACAGGATCCAGAAGTCTCCTTTCTGTTGTGCTTGTATTTGAGGACAATAAAGTCCTTGTCTGGATTACTGACTGGTGTGTAAGTTTTCCATGAAACTCAGTTACACTACAGAACCTTGACAAATGGTGTTGTGTGTGTGAGGCTTCATGTTCACTTCTTTATAAGGAAGTGATTTTGTTTTGGGTTGCAAAATATTAGGTGAATAATGCAAACCTCCTGCTTAAATGCCGCAACTCCAATTCTGAAAAGCCACTTTATTAATCTTGGTGTTGAATCTAGCTGTTTTAAATTACTGTAAAGTATAACAAGAAGTCTTAATGACAATATAGTTGTGGGGGGCCAAAGAACACTGGGAAATATGGGCCAAGAAATGAACTAAGAAGCAGCGCAAGTGAGAACACAAACATGTGCCTGTTGACTGGGAATGGAAAGGGGGCTAAGGAATGTCACCATCTGTGGTTTCTAGAACATTCCATGGGATTAAATTGTTGTGAGAACTTGCCAAATGTATTCCTTGGAGATGGTCCTCCCCTAAAATTTGGAAATGAGGAGGACGGGAATTTAATGGCAGAATTTGGAGATTTCTGTGGTCAAAAAATTATATATTCTGATGGCTTCTCGATGTACATCAACAAATTAATATTGTATGGCTGCCATTTCAAAGCCTCCTCAAGGTGAAGAGGCGTATCTGAAGCCATTAGAGCACAGATGGTTCAAACTATATGCAGATATTCATAGTTGTGCTTTTTCTTTTTGCATTTTGTCTGGCTTTTTTTTTGCGCTGTTGAACTGTAATGAATTGTCTCATAATCTATTCCATCTTCTTGCCATTAGCAGGCTCTGAATGTTCACAAATAGGAGCAAAGAACTCATTTTCCAGAGCTTTAATCACACAAAGAGGGAATGCCTAATTCTGTAAATGAAATGGCCTGTGATCACTGAAGCAGAGATTTAATATATCACGGCAAATTAGGTAGATTTTAATAAATTACTTATCTTTCTGAATACTTTACATATGCTTACGAAATAAATATAGCCTGTTTTTTTGTAAACGGCAAAGGAGCCCCTTTACCTATAAAATTCTGTTTAAAATACACTAAAAAAGATATTCAGAAATAGAAAAAGCATAAGCTATTCCAAATGAATCTTATCTAGAAACTTCTATCTTTTTTGAGGGGCTGATCCACGGCTCAATTAAAAAAAAATCAATTAAATCCTTCATCAGCATTGGTTGAAAGCTGGAAAATTGAGTTTCCAGGCTGTTTTCAATCATTGTTTATCAGGATACAACTATTTGTTATTCATGTTTTATATAAGTTTTAAGTGTGGTGGTGGTGGGGGTGAGGGTGAGAAGGGAACCAAAGGCCCAGCCTGGAGCGTAAGATAATCTGATCGATTCTTTTATGGTTTCATCTTGCACTTTGATAGCTATTAGTTGAAATATGTAAATCTCTTTTTCCTGCAGATGAAAAACAAAACAAAACAAAAAAGGGAGGTTTACGCAATCCTCTCCCTTCAAAAAACTTGATAATCACAAACAACTGATTATAATGTTAGCAGAAGGGCAAAAGTTGTGTGTTTCTTTTTATAAAAGCTTGCAGTAATTTAATAAGTCTTGGGACCAGTCTCCTTCTTTATATTTAATTGATAGAAACGGCATGCATCAAAGAAAACGCATACTGAGATTTAATGTGCATAAAATGGATATTAGCATTTTAAAGAGGCAGATTAACACATTAATCCAAGTAATTTTCATATATTGCTTCTAATAAAAGCTTCACAGTATAAAATCCTTAATGAGGCTAATCGCAGGCATTCCATTTAGTGGGGTGATTAGGGATAACATAAAAGTATTTTTAATCAGTTTTCTAAGGCTTAAGGTTTTTTTATTTTATTAAAAATTAAAAATTTGACTTGCATTTTTATTACTGTTTTATGTTAAGGCAAACATCATGTTGAAAATGCAAATAAAGCACATCATTCAATCATGTAGGTATTAATTATTTACAAGCTGGTGTCCATTGTGGGGTAGGGGCTGTAGCCTTAAGGGTGTGTGTTGGGGAGGGAAATGTATAAAAAGGAAAATCCAAACAGACAGGAAAATATACAAAGTTTACAGCTGCAAATTGTGCATCCTTCACATATAAATTATACATTAAATATTCTGTAGCATCTCTCTCTCTCTCTTCCTAGATCTAGCCTGTGTGTTGGTTATGTGGGGAGAAAGCACATCTGTCGACACAGGCTCTCATTTTCAGACCTCCTCATAGACTGCGCGCAGAGCATGGAGGGCTTCTACTGTTACTTTGAGCTTCCCAATTACCGCTCCACCATCTGGTGAATCCAAAACTGGAAAAGAAGCAGAGAGGGAAAGCAATGTCAATAGCAAATTCACAGACCCTCGCATTCCACACCTTTGAAGAGCTTCGACTTCGGGTGCAGAAATGCAAAGGCCCTTCATTCACACGCACAAAGAGATTGGTGTGTGTGTGTGTTGTAGTAACAGAACTCTTGGCCATTTCAAGTAAGCGCATCTGAGAACCGCAGTCAATTGCTCTTTTGAGACCATGAGCTAACCACATCTCCAGATGGGGAGCATACGTTTAACACAGGCAGAACGAGATAAGAGTTGTGGAAAGTCCTGGGTTCTCGCCAACTAAAAACACACAGGTGAAGGACCACTGCCATCACCTTCTTATGGTGGAGGAAGATGAAACCTGCTGTCCTGCACAACAGTGAGCTCTTCCTAGGTAGATTACACTGCATTAAAAAAAGACATTCCAAATTGGCTGCACATGGTCCCTCCCCATGACTAATAGGTTAATGACTGTCCAAGATTCACCTTATCTTCCTGGGAATTTAGGGTAGCTGTAACAATCTTGATGTAATAAACCATGGTTTATTGGACTAAGAAGGAGCCTTATGTATGTGTCCTCCAACCTTATCCTTTCCCTCCACCCACAGCTCAGTACTTCCATTGCTGTTTATTAAACCAGTTTCCCAGCGTATCCAAAATGGAAAACTGCCTTAATTTTTGTTTACAATCCAGAATATGAAAGCTGGATCTTCTAAAACACATGTCCTCAATCACACAGAAAACCAGCATGGTGCAGAGAGATCCACGTTCAAGTTTCCACATTGCTTCACTGGGTAAAACAGGCCCAGTCACTCATCTCCCAGCCCTAACCTAACTGAGCTGTTGCAAAGATACGGACAAAATCCAGGATAAACAACCAAAAAAACCCATCTAGTTGTGACCTAAGATTACCAGTTCAAGAACAAATGCTGGATGTCTGGTTCAGAAGAATGTACCTAAGTTGTAAGGAAGATGGTGGGCTCAGTCTTGTTTTAGGAATTGCAGTAAACTCCTCCCAAACACCACCAGCTGCTAATACACCTTTTATAACTATATTTCACTTATGAGGTCTGGAATAGCACTCCAAGAACTGCCACAATCCAAAATCCACTTTTATAAAAATATTTATCTGGGCCAGCTCTATCATTAGGTAAAGTGGCTGCCTCAGTCAGCAGGTGATGAGGGGTGATGAGAGTTGTGTGTGTCACATGGCCTCTGCTCAGGTGTGGTGGGGAACACTCTGCAGTGGCTGTGTTTTGCACATGGAATGGAGAAGGGGGGAAGTGCTATTTTGTCCTTTGTTCCAGACAACAAAATGAGTTGGGTCTTCTTTGCTATCTCTCTTTCTATAGGACTACCTGATAAAAATTCCACCTCTCCAAGCGGGAGGTGGGTGGAAGCCCAAACAAACCTGAGAAAGATTTGGGAACTGAGGGTTATAGCCAGTGCTACTCAGAGTAGACTCAAAAAAGTACATGAACCTGAATAACTTAGGTTCATTAATGTCTGTGGGTCTCCTCTAAGTAGAACTAGCATTGGATACAATCCTCAGAGCTGTGAGAAAGCAAAACTAAAGAGAAAATGCCCTCAAACTCACTGTTGATGTCTTGGTCAATGACGTCTTGCCCTTTCCGAAATATCTCCATTAGACTGACGTATGCAAAGCCAATATCTTCACACTCAAGATCTTGCTCATCCTCTGGAGGGTCACTTACTACTGTAAATCGTATGCTGAGAAGGGAAAAAACGAAGGGGGAGGAGGTAATGAACTCAAATAATTATTTTTGGTATTTCAGTTTTAACTTCCATTGGAGAATCTCAGGGTCAATTACAAATTATTCACACTTTTAAGAACTGGGTGCTTTAATTTTAAAGGGAAAGCAGCCACAGGGCCCCAATCCACCAGTTTCCTGCCAGAAATTACTGCTTGTGGCTATTTCCTACTCAGAGTGCCATTTGCAGTAAATAGCACATTTGGGGGAAATTGTCAGCCCAAGGTGTGTATAGCATTTTCAGAAGGAAACTAGGCTGCAGTCTCATTTTGAGATCATCGTGCACGGCTTTAGACCAGCTTCCTATGCCCTTGCTCTGTTCCTCCTGTTCTATAAGGGCTACAACACTGTTGAGAGGTTCCCAACATACTCAGTGAGGGACCAGGATGCAAAGAGCATAGGAATATAGGAATCTGCCTAATATAGAGTCAGACCATTGGGCCCGTCTAGTTCAATATGGTCTACAGTGGCTGGAAATGGTTCTCCAGGGTTTCAGACAAGGATGTTTTCAAGCCTTACCTGGAGATGCTGGGGACTGAACCTGGGACCTTCTGTATGCAAAGTAAATGCTATAACCATTGAGCAACAGTCCCTAAGCATATGCTTATGTATATGCTCAAGGCAGCTTCGGGATAAAGCACCTGCCGCCCCACTCCTCTGCTGAATGACAACCCATCACTCAAGGGAGTTTTTCAAAAGCAGCTGATGATGCAACATTGTGCTGGTGTGGGTGAAATGGATATAGAGGCAAAAAATCCCACTTGGCTCCCTAAAGGCCTTGGACAAACTTCCAAGTAGCTCTTTGAATCCTGTCCTGGGGCTCCAGTTCCCAGTACTGTCCAATGGATTCAGAGGTCTGCAGCCGATGGTGAGGATGCAAGGAACTGCAGATTTGGATTTGAAGGTCAAGAAGAACAGTTTGACATGCTGTGTGGCAAATGTTTTCTTTCTTTTTTAAAGAAACTCTGAGTGTCAAGCCCCTTTTGTGACAGGCCACATGGTTCTGCTATTCAAAGAGCAAAAATCAGGGACATGGCCAGTGCCTGTGGTGGCCGCAGTGCCATTCTTTCACCAGAAAGTTCACAGGAAGTAACAACAACAACAACAACTATGTGGCCTTCCAAGAACATGCAACAAGGTTAAGCTGCAGAAAATATGACATTGTGAGTCTTGGCTTTAAACGTATTAATTTTTTAAATATGTACACAAGAAGACAACTTTCCCTTTGTATCTGTATTGTTCTCTCTGTCTTTCTCTCTCTCAAAAAACCACACCACAAAAACCTTTTGTCAGCAAGAGAAGATCCCACGATTCTGTTAAACAGAGCTTTCAAACACATATGTAAAATATATGAGAATGTCCTCTAGCTGTATGCATTCCTCACAGCATAAAGTATCTTAGTCACAATGCTAAGACGCGCTGTAAGTTCTGCCAATAAAATTATCCACTTAAGTACAAAGAATTGGAACGAACTGTCCTTTGGAATGCGACACTCGCTTGAGTCAGGATACAGAATAAAACTAAAATACTATTTGGGGCAAATTTAAAAGTACATTATCCTTTAAGGAGCAGACAAATAGCCTACTTCCCACTACTTCCCCCTGCTATGTTCTCCTGCGTTTGTTTACTTGAAAACACGGAATAGTACAAACCATAGAGACACATGTAACTCATTAACTTTCCCTGGCACCTTCATCAATGCCACAATCGGGAGGTCTAGCCAGACCACAGAATGTTGGCTTTGTAGACAGTCAAAGTATGCTGCGTATGTCAAGAAATGACATCTATGAAACATCAACGTCAGTGAGAATTAATCCCACTGTTGATATTGTAGATACTGTTTTAGAAAACACATTCGCTTCTAAAAGATCAAAATGGGAATGGTAAGGGGAAGCACCTTCCTACATAAGATAGGACTGAAGCCAAATCTTGCTTTCATTTCATGAAATGTTAGTGGGTTAAAGTGGGGTTATACTATTGATCGAACCCTATTCTGTGAGATTTGTTGTGAGTGTGCTTGTTATCTGTGTTATCTGCTCCAACAAAACCGGCATCTCATTCCTTTCCCCTTCATTTCACCCTTCTAGGCTTAAAGAAACTCTTGCTGCCTTAAAGGCCCCCAGATGTTAAACTGGTTAAATTAATTTATTAATTTTTTTAGGATACAATCCTATATGTCAGGTGAAAGTTCCCTGTACTCAGTGGGGCTTACTTCACAGTAGAGAGGTACAGGGATGCACTGTAACTTGATTAATCCGTGGGAAGAGCCTTTAAACCAGGGATGGCAAACCTCCTCTAGATGCTGTTCGCCTAAAACTCCCATAATTCCTATTGGCTGGGGCTGATGAGAGCTGTGATTGAATAACATCTGAAGTGCCACAGGTTAGCCATCCCAGATTTAAATCAAAGGGTTTGAAATATAAAATCTGGGTGGGTGGTTTGGTTCTGATGTGCGCTTCTTATCATATTACTAAAACTCTGCATTTATAGAACACATTTCAAGAGTTCCAAACTTTCCGCACTCCTTTCAAACAGGTAATAGACCAATATTATTACAGTCCCCCTTGCCCCTACTGCTGAGAGACTGAGGAGGGGAGGCCTTTGGAGAAGTATGGGTTCAGTGTTCAAGTTACGCAATTTTAGTCCTAATTTCCGTTATCACTGATTTAGCCTATCGCTATAGCTAGACCATGTGCAGCCAATTTGGAATGATATTTTTATCCTGGGTCCTTTGGTTTCCTAAACTTTAAAGTTTTTAGTTCCTGTTTCAAATGGGGGGAAAAAAGTTCTGGTATTATTATTATTATTATATAAGGCATTGTGATAGGAAACATGTGCCGAGGGAGCAATACGCCAACTTCAAAATGTGCTGCGTCTGTGCATTCGAGGGCTGCATCTCCCTTCCTGATGGCCCAACTTCTAAAAGGTGGAATGAGAGTGAGGAGGCTTTATGGATGAGCCTGCCCAGACGGCAAGGCTTGCTTCAGATGTTCTGGAGGTGGGATGCTAACTTCTGAAAAACGCTTCCATGTGGCGGAAGCCTTTTGCGGATACCGTAGCAGATGCAGATGCCTTTTTGTGTGGACGTGTTCAGCCACGTGCTGAGCTGCCATACTAATTCCCCACAGAGGGAGATGTCCTGGCTTGGCACGCAAGTGATCCACATGGAAAGCTGGTTGTGCCAGTCATGGCATTATGGTAATTATGATGCCACAGCAGGGCATGAATTGCTATTTTATTGCCGATGCTCCACACTTTTGAAATGCACGCGGAACAGTACCTTTAACCGCAAGGGTCAAAAACCAGATTTCTAGGAAAAGGTAGGGATTTCAAAATGAATGACTAAATGCAACTGAACAAGAAAGTGAGCATCTTGTTTGCAATGAGGGCAAGGTACAGATTTATATGGTTTGGGGCAGAATCTACTCATGAGATCTCATTTGAAGTACGGTGTCCATTTCTGGCCACCGCAAGGCAAGAGCTGATAAGCACAACCTATGGTGACTCAGACTACTCAGCCACCCAGCCTAGTACTGTGTATTCTGATTGGCAGGAGCTTGCCATGGTCTTGCTCAGAGAAGGTACATGATATCCTTTTAACTGGAGAGGCCAGAGATTGAACATGAATATGCATGCAAAGCATATGCTCTGCTACTGAGCTATATAATTCAAGAAGGACAATCACAAGAGAGTGATGAAGAATCTCCAACAAGACAAATTAGATCAAGAAAGAGGCATCTAGTTCTTTCAACCTAATTCTAGATGGTAAAAAGCAGCGTTTGAAGCATGGCGATGGAATATGTACACCAATTCCACATAATTAAGATGTCAGCAGTAAGGGAAACATGTTTCTAGTGAGCCTGTTATAAAGCAGGAGTGGATCTGAATGACATGTTAGCACACTGTATTTTGAGATTATATATAATCTGATTTAATTTTTTTAAAAAAATATATTTTAAGAGATTATACCTTGCCCTTCAAAATGTAACACAGGACAGAGTATAATTGTGGGAATATGTAGGAATTAAACCAATACATGCCCACAATTATGTGCATTGGATTCCTACTGAAATAAATGAGACTTGAGCATTACTAACTGCTGGTTGTGACATAAGGTGAATGGTTGAGCAATGGTATTTGCTTCCTGAGGAATCTGTGGCCTTTCCCTGGAGGCTTTGAAGGTGAGGGAAGAGGAGAATCATTTCAGAACACAAGGAAAAAGTTATCTATCTCGCGTTCAATGCATGGGCTTTCGAAAGATTTCAGTGGGAAAGGATTTAATCTTCTACCCTTGGAATGACATGGACTTAACCTTGCACAATGATTGTACAGAGGCAGCATGCCAATGTTTGTGGAATTTCAGCATTTGAGCGAAAGATCCTGCTTAGTCACTGGACTCAAATTAGTCCTGTGAAACAACGATCGGGATACAGAATATGGCACTATTGGGAAATCTGTAACTTTATTTGGAGTTCTGCTCGCACCAGCATGTTATCCATCTTACTAATGTATGCAGTAAATCTGGAAGTCCTTTCCTTGTTTGCAGAAATGAAAAAAAGAAAAGAAAAATCTTTCTGAACTTCAAAGTGCTTTAGATGTGATACATGCCTGCTCTTAAGGGATCACTTTATGGCACTTCCTGTCGGATTCCATTAAAAAATTGTGCACCAGCCAACATATGAAGCTCAATTTTAAAGTAAAATAGAGAAAACAAAGACTACCGTCTTATTGCCAAGTACTACCCTCAGGTCTGCACTGCTTATCTGTCTATATATGGATAACTTAAATGTGTGAAAGGCTGACTGGGAACCCTTCTACCTGAACCAGCAGCTATTCTGAACCACAATCAAAACGGCATGGATCAATTACTCCTTTACAAGGAGAATGACTGTCCTGTTGAAGGGGGAAAAATGGTACACATTGTGCTTGTTGTTCTTTTCTGGTTTTTTTTTGGGGGGGGGGAATGAAAATTATAAATAATGAATAAAATTCAGGTGCTACTATGTGACAACATCATGTACCCTTGAAAAAAAACATGTAGCATTTATTACACGGAAATACAAAATTGTGAAGTTGAAGGGCATCTGACCCATTCTGCTGCAAAATTTACCTTCCAGGGCTGGGCTCGGATCCTTGAAGCATGGCCTTGAGGAAATCGCGCTTCACTTTGTTGTTTGCCTGGTCCACATGTATCACTGAAAAACGCAACAGGAAATGGCAATGGCTGTGATTACTTGCAATGAACGAAATGAACACAATTTGCTCTGCTAGTTAGTTTTCAAAGTAACTTCCTTTCGTTTTAAGTCATCAAAATGGGTATTATCCCACAAAGCCCAGCTGCAGAGAGGAATGACATGGTAAGGCGAAGAATGCCTACAGACTTTATAGTAAAATTATTTTCTTTTTGATGAACAGGGGTCCATTGGATAAGGCAGGTATCCAATCGCTATGAAATTTCAGTGGTATAAATTCTTACTACATGGGAACACACCTGTATTCAAATATTCCTTCAGCCAATGTCCATGATGAACAGTTCCTGTTTATGGCTTAGATGACTGTACATTACAATGTGGCATGATTCTATTTTATTTTTCTTTCATTCTGGACAACTCCGAAGGATCACAGCTGAGTTGGGGAGCACAAGTCCCCCCGGTTCATTGGGCTAGGAAAGCCCCCTTAACCTAGTCTTTCCCAACCTTGAGTCCTCATATGTTTTTGGACTATTACTCCCATCATCTTTGCCTGTTGGTCATGCTGGCTGGGAATGATGTTGGGTTGTAGTCCAACATCTGGAGGCCCAAGACTGGGGAAGGTTGCCTTAACTCAAGGTTTAAAGTAAGAGAGCTCATTTCAGCTGGAGTAGAATCTACCAAATGTTTAAATGTACCAAAGGTCTGCTTCTGTATAAGATGTTACCATATGTATCCTTTAATGAGTAAGTAAATCCTTTTACTGTACTCAATTTCTCCCCCTCACACTGAAGGGAAGGATTGTGGGATAGTTCTTAATGCCCTGCTTTGAGGAACAGAATTAAAAACCAGAATCCACTAAACGGCAAATTTTATAAATAAGAAAGTGTAGTGTAGATGAACAGAAAGTAGACATAATGCTACATAATCCAGAGAAGTATCTACTTTTAGAAAAGGAAAGCAAAATGTAGAAATACCTGTGGGATTAGAATCCTTATGTTTGAGGGCCCTTATAATGATTTTGTTGAGTCTTAAATACATTTAACTGCTCAGCTGTGCATATCACAGAGTTGGTTGGAATGTGGTAAAGAGGGGGATTTCCCCCCCACCCACATCTAATAAATATTTAATGCTTGTAGCCATAGGCTACTGCAAATACAGCAAAATCCCTATCAGCATGGACATAAAACACGGATAAATATACTCTCTGTTCAAAATGTAATCAAAATTAAAATAAACTTAAAACTTTCTAGTATTACTCATAGATTTAACTGGCTCAAATTTTCAAGCCACCTTCTACAAAGCACTGGTGTTTGGTTCAAGATTTGCAGCTGGATTTTCTTTGCAGCAATTGGAAACAGTGCAACTTTCTGCATTCATCAGAAAGTAAGTCAGTTACTATTACCTGTATTGCTCACCTATCTCCACACACACTGTGACACAAGATAACCATATATATTTTTCTGCAACAGGTGTATGGTAGGCAGTGCAATAAATAATGTAGTATATCAACCATTTCCATTTGTTTATTATCTGTTTCCTGAAGCACTCTTGATGCAAGGCACTGAGTGTAAGACACTGGCTCCCACATTTGAGTTGGCTTGTCTTTGAAGACATTCTCCAATGGTCCTGTTCTGAGTGGCCCACCTTTTGAAGCAGGGCAGGTGGGTTCCACTGCTGCTCCCCAGCAAGTGGTATTAGGAGAAACACTGTCCTTGAACTACAGGGAAGCACATTGCTCTAAATGTAAGGAAGCACTTCCTAACTGTAAATATAGAACATGAAACAGGAAGCACAGAAAAGCAGTGGAAATGCCCCCCCCCCTTTTGCATAGGGGGCACCTTTTTTGGGGTACAAACATAAGAGACTGGTTCAAGTAATGGGTCCAACTAGCAGAAGCCCACACAATGACTTTTGCTAGTGCAATGGGGCTTCCCACCTCATCTGCCCCAATTGGCTCAGTGGTGGCATGAGAGAAATTCTAGAATAGATCCTTCCATCAGGCAGGCAGAAATGCTTGCACTGACAGAGCAATCTTATTAATGCTATGTTGAATTCCTCCCAAGCACTTACAAGACATCTGCTGGCTATTGGACTCGCAGCTGTCCAAGGCAGCGCAGTCAATTCTGCGTCCGGGGCAGCTGTCTACCAGCTCCATCTGGTATGCAGGCTGAGACCCTACCTGCCCACGGACTGTCTCGCCAGAGTGGTGCATGCTCTAGTTATCTCCTGCTTGGACTACTGCAATGCGCTCTCTGTGGGGCTACCTTTGAAGGTGACTTGGAAACTACAACTAATCCAGAATGCGGCAGCTAGACTGGTGACTGGGAGTCGCCGGGACCATATAACACCAGTCCTAAAGGATCTTCACTGACTCCCAGTACATTTCCAAGCACAATTCAAAGTGTTGGTGCTGACCTTTAAAGCCCTAAATGGCCTCGGCCAAGTATACCTGAAGGAGTGTCTCCACCCCCATCATTCAGCCTGGACACTGAGGTCCAGCGCCGAGGGTCTTTTAACGGTTCCTTCACTGCAAGAAGCAAAGTTACAGGGCCTTCTCAGTAGTGGGCCTGTGGAATGCCCTCCCATCAGATATCAAAGAAATAAACAACTATCTGACATTTAGAAGATATCTGAAGGCATCCCTGTTTAGGGAAGTTTTTAATAACTGATGTTTTAATGTATTTTCAGCCTTCTGTTGGAAGCTGCCCAGACTGGCTGGGAAGACCCAGCCGGATGGGTTGGGTAGGTAGAAATAAATAAATAAATAAATAAATAAATAAAGTGATTGCTTATGGAATAGGGCTGGCTTAGCCTAAAAGGATCCATGCAGATTCCACCCCACTATTCCAATCCAGAACCATGCATGCATGCAGATACACAGATCAAATTCTTGTGCACGCTAGCTTATTTCTTAATTGCAATTCAGCTGCATGTAATGGCGCCCTCCCTCTCAAAATGAATGGGAAAGCTTTTTGGGGTAAAAGCAGGAGGGGACGTTCTGTGCGTTCACCTGGAGTACTCAGATCTGCAACAGACTGCTGGATGGAGCACATATCTTTTATTTATTTAAAACATTTATCGCCCACCTTTCCTAAAAAATTCAATGCAGTTAAAAAATAAATACACAAATACAGTAAGAGCAATAAACCAAATGGTGCAGTACAAAATAGAAATACTGGGACAATTAATCTGAGGCATTCCCTTAATTGCCTACATATCCAGTTAACTTTTTGTTTAAATTTGCCTTGTAAAAGGAATGCAAAAATAAATAAATAGCTTTTAAAATACCAGCTTGTGAAATTAGCTGTGAGAACAGAAGACATGTGAAAAGTTAACCTATGGTACGTTATGGGAACTTGTGTAACACTATTTTTAAAAGGGATAATTTGAGGAGTGGGGGAAGAGAACCTGGTGGGGGAAGAACTAACTGCCTCTTTCCATGCTTCCTAAGGAAAATCAACAATGAAAGCCGGAATGGAAGTCGGAACAGTCATGTGATCCAATTGTCATATTGCTGGCAGGTTTATGCTCACACTGTCAGAAGAGATACAGGCAGCATCTAAGAATGCCACACAGTTGTCATTTCCTGTTAATGGCCCTGGCAGTCACGACTGTGAAAGCCAGTGGCTTTTATTGCTTCGCAATGGAGGGGATTTACGGTGGTTTCTTTCTTTCGCCCAGTGAAAGTCAGTGATAGCGATAATGTATGGCAGAGCGCTTGTCCTTTCTGACAGCCCCAGTAATTTAATCCCCCTCTCCTGCCAGAACAGGCAATAAGAGAGACTTCTAGACCAGCAGAGTGGGGAAAGCTACAGCCTGACATTCATCTCTTTATATCCCAAATAAAATAATAAAAAACAAAAACCCTTCAGTCAGGTTACGAATGTGGACACCAGTTTGGAGCATCTTCCAATATCACAGGCACATACATGAAGTCACAAATTTAAGCATTAAGACAATTTTTTATGAGCTGGATTGTACAGATACTACGGGGGAAATAATTGATAAGAATGCAGTGGGCACGTCCAGTGATATTTCCCTTTTGGTCTGAAGCTACTGTGCGCATTAATTTTGTATTGGATAAATCCTTGTTATCTGCAGATGCTCATGTACTTTTAAATTATATTCATCTTGTACGGGACTTTCAGCAGGACATTAAGAGGGGGTTGTGAGAGTCCTTATGGTTGCCAAGAGATTTAAACTTCGAGCCTGGAAGGACGAAACATCCAACATATATTATGCAATGGCCCGAGGACCTTACTGCCCTTGCAACGTTTAAGCCTATTTCTTATAACTGTCAATTTTGTTTGGATATCTATTGGGACACATACCAACTTACATGTTTAAAACTGAGGTGGATGTACTGCTGGTCACTGTATTATTAATATGAGCTCTTGTTGGCTTGAGGACTAGAGATGCCAACCAAATTTTATCTTGGTCCCAGACTCCTGACCAAAAGTTGTTGGAGATAACTGAGGTGGATAGGGAGATAGGACAGGATCTTTTCTGTGACAGAATCTTTACTATGGAATCCATTCTCTAGAGAGGTTAAACTGGCTTCACCTTTGTTAGTTTTAACTGGGCCGTTTAAATCTTTTTGTGCTTTCAGATGAATTTAAATATAAAGGTGTTTCTCGTTCTTAATCTATAGTCTGAGCTCATGTTTTCTTTTTATAATGGAATAATATTATTATATTAATGATATATTATATTTTATAGTTTATCAAATCCTTAAATTAGTATTAATTAGCATATTATATTATTATTATTAATGTGAGCTCATGTTTTCTCTCGCTTTTCTTTTTGTTAAACTTGTTAAATAAAGCATTGTGGATACAGGATTTTGGGGGCACCAGCTATGGGTAAATGAGGGCAGAGTGGGGCACAAATGAGGATGTCTCTAGTTCAAACTTTGCCTCTGCAATGAAACCATTAAGTGGTCTTAGGGAAATGACTCTCTATTGGCCTCTGTCCTGTGGGGGATAATACTGCAGAGTTACCCTACAAGGCCAAATGTTGAGTACTGTATTGCTACGACTACCCAGGCTTTTAATGGTTTTTAAGTGGTTGATTAATCTCGGGTTTTGTATTCTTTTTAATCTGTGGGGGGTTTCTTGGTATTACGCTGATGTTTACTTTTATGACATATTGCTACTTTTTGCTCTGTGTTTTTATGACATATTTTACTTGTTTTTACAATGTATTGTTACATGCTGTTCTGTGTTAGTTTGTTCTTTTAATGTTGTAAGCTTCCTCAAGAACTATGGTTTGTATGCTGGATATAAATATTTTAAGCAGAGAAAATATTTGTGCCTGCTCCCAACAACTGTTCTCATCCAAATTCCCATAATGCTGCCACCCACTAACTTGGAATAGGGATAATATTGAGGAATCACACTGTACTGCTTAACAAAAGTCAGATGAAGAAAATTCCTTTCCTCCCCGCACATTGCACACTAAATCTTATGTGCTATACTTCTGATCTCTTCTATGAAGTTTTACAGGCTCCTGCTTATTTGAAAAGCAAAATGCAACAATTCTCATTTCACCAGTTTTAAAGCTTCCCGTAACACGAATATCTAGATTAAGCACCAAAGCAAAAAGGCACAAACATGGAAAATTATAATTTTTAAAAAAATCTACAGGAAGCTTGGGTTTTTTTGGGGGGCGGGGGGCGGGATGGGGTGTGGAGCATGGAGCCTTATATCGGGGAGGGATCTGCTCTAAGCCCTGGAAGGGTTTAATATGTAAGGACCGATGGATATGGGAGGGCATACTGAGCAAAAGATCCACTGTTGGAAGTAGCAAATCTCCGAATACCAGTTGCTGGGAATCACATGTGGGAGGGAGAATGCTGTAGTAGTCATACCTTGGTTCTCAAACGCCTTGGTACTCGGACGTTTTGGCTCCCGAACGCTGAAAACCTGGAAGTAAGTGTTCCAGTTTTCAAATGTTTTTCAGAAGCCGAATGTCCGATGCAACTTCCGATTGAGTGCAGGAACAAGGTTCCACCGTACCCGGGTCCTGCTTGTGGGCTTCTCATAGGCCACAATGAGAACGGGATGCTGATCTATGATGGGCCATTGGCCTTTTCTGGCAGGTTCTTATGTTCTTATGAGTGAGTGTGGCAAGATAACTACCACCCTTGCCCATTGCTCTCTTAGTAAGTAGGAAACCAACAGACGAATGGGAAACAAGAATCATGTATGTGTGTAGGTAGAATGCTCTATCCAAGGCTCCCCCATCAAACCCCTGGAGTCTCCCTACTACTTACCCAAGTGAACCTACTTATGCCAGGTCTCTCTATTTCTTATTGTCACACTCTCCATATTCAGGGAAACGTATCTCAGGCTTAATAAGATAGGAATGTGCCTTTCACCTGCACAAGCACCCCACTTTCTGGCATAAAGCAACCAACCAAAGAGTAAGTCTTAAATTAAACCTAGTTTCTCATTTCTTTCAAAGCAAGGAATTATGGCTACCAGCTTCAGAACAAACCAATTTATTAAACCATGGTCTGAAGTTAGTTTAATACCCTGGCTAGTTCTGAAGCTGGTAACCATAATTTTCCACTTCAGATAAAAGAGGAAACTACGGTTAGAGTTTCCTGGTTTAACTGCAGCTCACAAAGGGGCCGTGTGTCAAGGAAATAGGTGGCATCTTAAGCTGGAATAAAATATTCTGAATGCAGTCAATGCATTTCAAACTATCCTATAAACTAGGATAATTTGGGCAAGCAAGCAGTATTTTATTGGAAGGGATGCTGGAAAACATTGTGACGGTGTGTTTGATTTTACTGGTGTCCTTATTTCTGGACCTTTCAGCATTTTGCTTCCTACAGCCATGAAGGTTAGAAAGACACTTCTCCCCAAACCTTAATGCTGACATGGTCTCAGAATAGTACAGATGTGCCAAAATCTGTTCACTGGGAATGTGCTTCTGCCCCTTGTTCTGAAACAGGTCCCAAACTTGTGTGTGTGTGTGTGTGTGTGTGTGTGTGTGAGAGAGAGAGAGAGAGAGAGAACTTTAAAAGAATTTTCCATGTTGTGAACATGGAAAGTTCCTTTCCTCTATCATCCTATTCAGAATCCAAAGTGCATCTAGACATCAATTCTCTCTTACCACCCCCTCCTTTCTCTCGCCTTGCCTCAGGTAACTACAATTTGTCCAAATAATCAACTACTCACTCCACAGGCTTCTGATCTATATAGGTCTCATAAAAAAAACTTTGGAAGATTTCATTAATCTTGCCCCTTTCTATTGTCAATTCCCAAGCAGGTTTATATACAGCCAAGATAACATTCTTTAGGCCCTCGATCATTAATCTTATTTCCAGGCCCCTTTCTTGCCTTCTCAGCATTCTCATGGCAATATTCTCTCAGCCCTATGAAATATAAATGCTATTTCCTTGTTATCAGTGTCTATCAACTGAACTTAATCTTTGTTATTTCAATTATGGTGGCCTTGTCTGGGAGGGAAAAATCATTTTGTCAAGGTGAAATTAAGAGTCGACCCCAACGGTGTAACTATCTATTTTGAGTTAGAGGAAAGTATAAGGTCAGTTTGCTTGCATCTACAATATTTCCCCCTTAAAGTTAGAATCATCACTCGGTTGAGTTTGAAAACATGAGCATGACACTCGCCTGCTTACTTCTGCTTTCCTATTTTCACCTCTAGCAGATCAAGTTATTTTAAAACTCACCCACACTGAGGCCCTATCCTGGGGCAGCCAACCTGGTGTTATTCAGATGCTGTTGGACAACAGCTCCCATCAGCCCCAGCAGTGGCCAGTGGTCAGGGATGATTAAAACTGTAGCTCATCAGCATTCGGAGAGAACCAAGCTACCCCAGGGATCTTATATTGAAACCAACATACGCCAAAATGGTGTCCATCACCCCTGGCTATAGGCCATGTTGGCTGGAGGTAACAGTAGCCGTACTCCTATGAAATTGTGAAGGATGTTTGGAGGAACCTAGCGGGGTATAGCTGGAGATGGCCACATGCCAGAAAGAGCAGAAGAGAGGGTCTAGTGGCAGTGGTATCTCAACTTGAGCTTGGGGCGACAAAGATACAGGGCTGGTTTGGGGACATGTCTAAGACCTGGATCGGGAGAAATACATAGGTAAGGGGGTTAAACTCAGAGTGTGGGTGTGTATATAGTGTATGGTTATGAAGTGTTCAAATTTATTTTCCCTTCCTCTGTATGACTTAACTGTCATACATGTGACATACAACTGTCATATGGACTTAACTGTTCTTATACATCAACCTTCCCCAGTCTGATGAATTCCAGATGTTTTTGATTAGCACTCTCATCACCCCCAGGTAGCACATCTGTGCTGCCGGGGGCAGATATGAGTTGTAGTTCGAAACTTCTGGAGGGAACCAAGGTGGGGAAGGACTGTTTGGATATGGGACTGGCAGATTTGCATCACTTTCAGCAGGACGTTTAACTATGAAGGAGAATAGATGTTAGATATGTCTGGCATCCCGATAGTTGAACGCTTTCCATCTTTTCCGAAATACACTTAACACAGAGCTATATATAGTTCTTTACATGGATAGATTGATCCACATAAGAAGAACCAAAACACCATTTGGTTCCATAATAGTATAACAATAAGATTTAATTTATTAATTAAAAGACTATCTTGCTTCTACCTATAGATTTTTTAAAAAACACAGGCTTGAGGAATTGAGAGCACTAAATCATTACATTGTGTTGCTTATAATGCCAGAATTCCAAAAGATCTCTTTGTCTCAGCTAAGATGTAAAGTAGTTTTTTTAAAAGCCAGTCACAGTGCTAAGATATAAGTATAATGAGAACTCAATAAAAAGAATGTATTATTTACCAAGAAATAATGATTTCTCAAATTACATTTGGATTTATCGTGATTTTTTCCATGCAAAATCTAGGGGACTGCTAGTTTCCCTCTAAGCTCAAAGTACACTTCCTTCGCCAATCATGTAAATCTCAGTTTTATTAAAGAAAATATTCAATTAACCCCTAATATTCTACATACCCAAATCTAATTAGGCATGAATAAGAAATGGAGTAAAGCTATAGTAAACACACACATTCTGACTTCATTACTATTAGATTATTGGCTTTCCCACTGACATTATCAAACAGCAAATTCATTAGGGCGCTTCCTTGATATGCGGTTCCCTTACCAGAAAAGCTGGCACTAAGGAGAAATTAGATGGCCAGTTATTTAAGCAATTCTCTAGGAAGAACAAAGCAACCATGTTGGAAATTAGTGGCGAGTTATAACTTTGTGACAATTACAGCAAAAAATGTTTCCCAAGAGGAAGAGTTGGATGATGTACTCCTAGCTATATGCCTGAATGTGCAGCAAGCTGAACCCTCAGGCTGCCTCACAGACAGGGTTCAGCAAAAAAAGGAATATGGCACAACCAAATAAGTTTAAAATGGGTTGGGGGAACCTCTGGTCCTCCAGTTTCCACTGGTTGGGGCTGACAGGAGTTGGAGTCTAGCAGCTTTGGGCAGAGGGGAGGCACAGATTCCCCATCAATGGCTTCAGAACTCTGTTCCCATTTCTAATGCATAGTTCTGCCCCCTAGGCATGTGACGTAAGGGTGGGGTTTGCTTCTCTGTGCTAAAGTAACAATCTGATGAGTGGATGCTGACTGATATGTACAGGCAGAGGACAACCTAGACCACTCAGTAACAGGTGGAGATGTCACACCTGTAGCAGTAAGCTTGGAACAGGGGAATAGTGTAAAGAAGTTGACTTGCTTTAAAGCTAGAATGTGAGTCCTGGTTTTGCCATGGAAGCGATATGAACTGTCTTTTCCTTTTTAAAACATAATATGTTAAAAAGGACCGTCTGACATCAGTTCAAATAAGATGTTCAAATTGCTAGAATTAAAATGTGGGATGTTTCTTTTTGGAATTACAAGTTTTAATAAAGCTGAGTGGGTGCATTCCAGCTTTCAAGTCTGAATTGCTGCGCAATAAATTTCGAAGCCCAGGATGGGGGGGGGGGGGATGAAGTCACAAAGAGCACTTTTTATATGGAAAATGAATGCCATAATAATAAACCAAGTTGGCTGCTAACATAATTTCACTCCCAACTTCAGCCTTCTGACACAGAAAACATACAGACTAGATAAGATCACGCTCAAATAACAGCAGTTACTGACACCAACAGCTGGATGAGTTCCTGATTAGCTACATCACTTAGAACAGTACGCTCTGTACCAAGGATAAGTGCAAGTTTTAACTCTAAGCTTTCTAATGGGAAATGTCTGAATGCTGGATTTTGTGAAATCCTGGGGATTAACGAATCCACAGATGTTTTCTGTATTTTACTGCATGACAATGTGCCATCAAAATTTATTACAGCTTGGCATAACAAACAGCATTCATCTGCTTATATGCGACACTCTAGTGTTATGTATAAAAATGACTGGGGGTAGAATCTGCCAAGCGCTGATTCCTGACAAGCACCACTGAACTGAAGCAGGGTTGAGCATTTGATGCTCTTCCATTTGCTTGCCTTGTCAGTGTTATTTTTTAAATCCTGGGTGATATTCAATCACAATTAAAGTCCGAAGTAATGCAAGTTGGATGTAATTCTTGTGAACATCGTGAAACTTCATCCATTCACTGACAGACCAGTTCTGCTTATTTCTTATAGAATATTTCTTATAAAATTCACATTGGAAAATATGAGGAAAGCCTCTTCTAAAATTGTGAAAATTACGTATTAGTGAGGGTTTTTTTTCTTTGCCTAGTTTCCAATTTAATCAATTTTTGCTATCGTATTTTTAAAACTATCCCTGGAACAATTATTAGAAATTTCCCCCTTTAAACAAGCCTAATGAAAACTGGGATTCTTGCTGCAATACACTTCTGTACCTTGGATGAGAGCATACAGAACAGGGGTGGTTAAGTCGAGATGTTATTGAACTACAGCCCATTATTCCTGGCAATGCTAGGTGGAGCTGAGGGAAGACACAGTCCAGTTATATCTGGAGATCACCCTGTTAACCACTTTTGAAGTGGACAATAGGTTATGTTTTGCGTATCCTTGCTTTAATCAACCAAGTATAAGGTGTCAGGGGTCTTGGAGAGTCTTAGTCCCTGCAACACCATGGCAGCTTGCAAGTTGAGAAAATAGCTGGCCTGATCTTTGCTATGCTACAGTGAAAGGGTGATATGGAAGAAGCCAACTGGATCTCACTGGATCCTCGCTGCTGATTCTGGATTGGCTCATCCGCACTAGACCTCTCACCAAGTCACTTCTGTGACGGGCACTTGCAAGCTTCCTGATGGCGCCTGTTTGGCCACTCCAGGAAGCAGGATCCTAGATGAGATGGAAGCTTGGCCTCATGGGCCTTTCTTACGCAAGTTGAAGCATAACTTACCAAATGCCTACCTGCTAATATTCAAACTGGAATCACTTTAAAAGAAGCCACACCACTGGTGACTTGGAAACATAACAGAATAGTATTTAATGAGCACATACCATGGCTATAATTGTAGTAGACCCGTTGTCCCCTTCTCGGTTTAGGAAGCGACACTGGTGTTTCATCTGCTGGGAAGTTGGAGAACTTGCACTCTACAAACAGGCGTTTTATTGTGTCATCCATTGCAACCTGGGATTCCGTGAGACTGAGGGATACTATTTCAATCCGGATTTTTTCACCAGACTATTACAAAAAGAAAGAAAGAAAAAGCAGCACAGTATATACTTCTTGTCATGCTAAAATGTTACAACAAACTTGCACATCACACCAGATGTTTTGGATGATCAAACATGACTGATAGTTTATGACAGAGCGACAATGAGGTCCTGATGCACTGGGATTTGTAGTTAACACTGTCATTGCAACAGACCTATAGATTTATATTTTATGCTGGAAAAAACTCTTTACCAGCCCTGCTGCTAGTTATGGTTGAGGACTGAACCTGGAACCTTTAACATGCATTGATGCAAGTTGTTGCTTCACATCTCAAAGACACCTTTCTGGGACACATGTACTGTTCTCAACTCACCAGTATTGCTTAATCTTAACCGGGAATTGCCATTAGTTTTAACTATGATTTATTTGAACAAGTCAGGATCAGAAAGTAGAGTTTGATCTTGGCTTGTTTGGACAAACCGCAGTCTAAAGCAAAAACATCCTGATTCAGATAAAATGATAATCTGTGGTTAGTTGCAAGTGGGAGCTTCTGATCTTGCTGCTGTGCTGAACTAGGAGAGGGGGGCACACGGGCCCAAGGTTTGTCCATGCAGCAGAAACTAAGCCCTGGTTTGTATGTAATGCTAAACTATGGCTTTCCATTACGCACACAAGCCTCTGAGAGTCGCAGCAAAGCCTTGGAATTAAGTGTTCCCCCTCCCACAAGGCCGGGAGGAGGAATAAGCCATGATTCAATTTCATTTCCCTCAATTCCTGTACAAATTCATGGTTTAAAATACTGAGTGGCAAAACAAGCCAACTTCAAACAATGGATTACTGAATAGTTATTTGTAGCTGTACTTTATTGATAATGTTAATGTGTATTGTGTATTTTGCTTAGAGGCTTTTATGATTAGGCAGTCTGCACATTCTGTGAAATAAAATGTATAAATAAATTTATTCCTCCTCCTGGTTGTGTGGGAGGAGGTGAGGCGAGTGATGGAGCCCAATGGTTTGTTCAGGCTCACAAAGGCACTAAACACTAAACAATGGTTGAATGTTACTTGCAAATCCTAGACTGTGTTTTATTTTTTTTATTTTTTTAAAATATTTTTATTAAGGATTTTCTTGTTTTACAGAAGTAAGTGTAATGCCTCGTATTTTTTTTCCATGTAACATTTTTACAAATCCATTTCATTTGTTGAGGCATTAGGGGGAGAAGAAAAAGAAAAAAAAAGAAAGGAAAAAGAAAGGGGGCTAGACTGTGTTTTATATATATATATAAAGGTAAAGGACCCCTGAAAGTATTTTTCACTCCATAAGACACACCTGACCATAAGACGCACTAGTTTTTAGAGGAGGAAAACTAGAAAAAAATATTCTGAATGAAACAGTGGATGTATGATTTTTTTGGTGCAGGCTGTAGCCATGGACATGCTATGTGATCTGATGGTTAATTTGGGGTGACCCAATGCAAAAATCCTGAGGATCCATGTGGATCCGTGCTTGTAACCACGTTTTAAGTGGGGAGGGAAGGAAAAACACTGAAGGGACGAGGAGCACACGTGGGGTGTGTGGAGGAGGCGGCTAACAATGCAGGAGAGGGGTTTAACGGGAGAGAGGAAAGGAAGGCAAAAGCCCCCCCCCCAAGCCAGCCCCCCCTCTCCCTCACCTGCATGTTTTCCGGCTGCCTGCAGGTCCCTAGCATGCTTCCCTGGACGCAGCAGCAGCAGCAGCAGGGCATGGAGAGGAGGAGGTGACAGCGGCAACTGTCGGTTGCGCTCCTAGCCGTCGGAAGCTGAGCCAGGTGGGCTGGAGCCTGTGCGCAGTGTGACTAGGAAGGAATTAGCAGGAAGGACACAATCCTTTCCCCTCTGCTTGCCATGAGGGCAGGGGATTTCCCTGCTCTTTGCTGAATTTGTCTGCCACCAGTCTCCTTGCTTAGCGTGTCTGTTTGCTGCCAGGTGACGCTGCCGCAGCCAGCGCTGAGCAACGGAAAGGGAACACAGCAAACACAGCAACCAAAAACACAAGAGGGTGGGGTGTAAGACTCTGAGGCAGAGAGAAGGAAAGGAATTCACTGCAGCTGTGCGCTCCCTGCCAGAAAGGGACAAGAACAAAAGGAGGGGAGCAGCGGCTGACTTTAACTGCCCAGTTAAAACCGTACGCGGCGGGGAACGCAAAACAAAATAGGAGTTGCAATTCAATCCTTAGGAAGGCGCTACAATAATTTGGCAAGGGGAACAGGGCTGATGAACAGCCTTGGGATGCCGTACAGATCAAGAGGCTCCACACACAAGGACACACAAACGCCCCCTTTAACCTCGCGCTCTCCCGTGCAGCAACACGACTCACACGCCTCCACATACACACCAAAATATGCCCGATACAGGAACCCCAGCAGCCTCCTCTCTGCAGCCTTCTCTCCTCCGTGACACATGATCTGATTTTTGCCCCTGCACTCTGACCAGTCGGCTCCAAGGATCACACATTCGCTCAATAAGATGCACAGATATTTCCCCTTACTTTTTAGGAGGAAAAAAGTGTGTCTTATGTAGCGAAAAATAGGGTAAGTCCAGTTGCAAATGACTCTGGGGTTGCGGCACTCATCTCACATTACTGGCCAAGGGAGCCGACATTTGTCTGCAGTTTTTCCAGGTCATGTGGCCAGCATGACTAAGCCACTTCTGGATAAACCAGAGCAGCGCACGGAAACGCCATTTACCTTCCCGCCGGGGCAGTACCTATTTATCTACTTGCACTTTGATGTGCTGTCAAACTGTTTTGTGTATAGCGCAATATTCTTTTGTTGCTATGGCCGATGGCTGATGCAAATAAAGTTTCATTCATTCATTTAAACCCTTTTGATGTGCCAAAAGTATGCCACAAGGCAACTTGTGACTGTGACCTATGAGTATACAAGTGTGTTTAAGGTTTGAAAGGCACTGTGCCCTTATTTGGGAAGGGTTTTCATGTCAAATGCTAATAGGGCAGCACACATTTTCCTGAATAAGTCAATGGTTTCAAAGAATGCATAACCACTGTGATTTCAAAATTAGACTACACAGAAGAACATTCAAAGCATGAGATTCTGCTCTTCAAAGAGCAAACCTAGCACCTTGCAGATCTCAGCTGTCAAGTTCTGCTTAACTTTTCTCTTTATGGCTCCCTCTCTACATTAAAGACTATTTCTCCTGTGTATGGAATTTGAAGGCTTTTGGTTGTAAATTCAAATCACTAACCTTGCAGTAATAATTACAGAATTAGAATAACAAGAAAGGGAGATCAGTTTCTAGAGGGTTGGCGTTCAAATTGCAAATCAATACAATATTCAAGCTCAACATGGCAATTGTCAATGCGTTTTTCAGAAAATATATTCTATAATTAATCAATTGAATAGCTTGAGTACCCCACTGTAAATAAAAAATAAATAAATAAGAGTCCTTAATAAAGAACAATATTCATTCCTGTCAACCTCTTTCAATATTTGATGAAGTAACTTTACCCCCACCTTTTTTTTCAAAAGACATTTTCTTTTATTATGTATCCTAAGACACTTTAACTAAAAACCTAAATCTGAATATTTCAATAAGGTTGTTTTATTATTCAGTAGATTCATGGAAATTTTACTAGGATGACAGAGAAAATTCCACACCATTCTGTCTCCGCTAATACAGGTACATGGCTTCAGCTGGCAATATTACTAGGATTAGCATAGTATGATGAAATATTTAAAGGAATTTTTTTTTTCTAAAAACCTAATAAATCAAATGACTGCCAAATGTCATTAAAGTGATGGTCTTTGACTTGAATATGCTTTTCATATTCAAATTTGAAAAGAAAGAGATGAAAGCCTGGAAAGGTTACTCAGTTTCAACTAATAACCTCAAGCACTCTACATTCACATGCATAAAAAATGAAATTGCCTCTATTGTCTAATTTTACTTCGGAAACAACTCCTTTCGCCTTCTATTGTACAGATATATCAGGAGTATTTTTAAGTGAAATTCAGAGTCATTCCCCTCCAAATATTTAACTCGACTGTCAAAACCGGCTCATGCTGAAACGGCCGTCAACAAATGAAGTCCAAATGTTGGAGTTATGGATGTAAAGGAGACCCTTTATAATGTTTGATGGAGAAAATAATCAGTACACTTGTTTTCTATTAAGGAAAGAAAGGGCTTGCAACAGGAATGGCCAAGGCATATAAATAAGCAGGCTTCACAGGGCTGGATAGTATGGCCCAACAAAGGAATCTGTATGATAAATATTGAGCATGAGCCTTAGTGTCTTTTCTGAAAAAGAGGCCTGCACTTCCAGAATGCTGAAGGATGGTCCTTGAAGATGGAGAGTGGGCAACATGTGACCTTGCATATGTTGCTGGACTTCTAGCACTCATCAGCCCCAGCCGGTGCTGCAACAGTTATGGATGATGGGAACTGTAGTACAACTTCTGCAGGACCACAGATTGCCCACCCCGAGTTAAAGGGAGTACTGAGGTGAGGGCTACTGTTGCAAGGGAGAGATAGTAGCTTAGTGGCAGAGTGCATGCCTTCCCTGCAAAAGGTCTCAGGTTCAATCCCCATGGAAGGCTGGGAAAGAAACCCCAACCTGCAAACCTGGAGAGGTACTTCCAGTCAATGCAGGCAATATCGAGCCGGTATCAGATTCCCTGCTGTGCAAACAAAGGACAACATACAGAACCCCTGGGTGGGCCCAAACGTCAATAGGCTGTAGCCAATGTTAGTTCTACTTAAAGTAGGTCCACTGAAATGGGTGGGAATGACTAACTTAGAATTTCAGTGGGTCTACCATGAACAGAACTTGGTTGGATGCAACTCAATATTGTTACAGTGGTACCGCGGTTTTCAAACGTAATGCGTTCCGGAAGACCAAGTTCTGAAACGTTTGAAAACCGAGGCGCAGAAAGTCACAAAAACAAGTTGGTTGCAAATTGGATCTTGCACTCAGCGGAATCTGCGTGGCATGTTTGATTTCCAAGGTGTGTTCGAAAACTGAAGCATGTACGGCGTTTGAAAACCGAAATGTTTGTCAACGAAGACGTTTGAAAACCGAGGTACCACTGCGTTTTCAGAATTTGGACTAGTTTAGAAATCATGCTAAACCAAATTAACATTATAAGAAAGTTTCCTGGTGAGATGGTTTCCTCTAGGTCCCTTCTCCTCCACAGCTCATGAGGTAAGGAGAAATGGCATTGTAGGCCCTGCCACCAATAAAGCATGGCGGCTCTTGGCTCTGCCCACCATGCATTAGAGTCGATGCCTGAGGCAGGGAAGTCTTCGCACCAATACAGAGGTATTGGTAGCCTTTTCTTGGCTCCTGAGTGATCTGGGGAAGGTTATGCATATAGCAGATTTACACACCAAGGGCGCCCCATGCTAACGTGCGGATGGGTTGTGGAAAACTGTGCATCACCAGAAATGGAGCCAGAGACACAGCCCTTTTCCATATGCTTTACCCCTTCCTGAACTCAGGAAAATGTGGCTTGTTCTAGCTGGATCTGAAAGGATGGTCTGATCTTGCTTTCTTTGACTTAATCACAATTAGAATAATCCACCATTTCCCTGAATTTTGGCTCTAACGGCTAACTGCAGTTTACTCACAACTAGAAATGGAAGCATTCAATCTTCTCACACTCAGAGGAGAAGGGAGGGTGTGAACCCAAAGGCTTGTCATGGCTCATTCTAATAACGCTAAACCATGGTTGAGCGTCATATCTGAATGCAGTCCCTGTAAGCCATTTTCAGCTGAACAGCTTTCAAAGAGGCATCCAAAAAACACTGATTTATCATAATTATAGGAGAATTGAAGTTAAAGCGTTTCAACTTAATACATTTACCTACAAACCAATAAATCATGCTTTCTTGCGGTTCATGAGCGCATTAAAAAAAATTATTCCTCTGAAGCTCATAATCTTTTTGTCCAACTATAGCCCAGGTGGACCGGGTAGTTATAAAGTCTAAAAATAGATATATTAGAAAACCCCCAAAACAAAAGCTAGCTTTTTTCTTTTCTTTTCCAGGACCCCCAATTTAACTTAGTGTCTTCTTTGGGGTTTTTTTTACAACATATGGTGCTCTGCAGAAACACAGCCACCTGGAAAGGCTGCCTTGTGCTCTTTAAAGAATGCCGAATGTCCAAATTAATTAAGAACCCTAAGATCTTAATTTAAGGAAAGTGATTATGACAGTTTTCACTAAACTGCTATTAGTGCAAGAAAAGCACACAAAGACTATCTATAATGAAGGAGAAAAGATGTAAACACACCTAGAGGAAAATGAGACCACCACGGAATAAATTGGTTTTGCTAAGATTTGCCTTGTGGGCACATTTGAAGATAACTTGAGAGCTGACAGCAGTAAAATTTTATTGTGATAATTGAAAGCTATATTATTACTCAAAATGATCAAGTGCAGAGGTGGAGATGAGAGCAAGCAATTGTTAATTTTATTTTATTTCTTTTTTAGACTCCGCCAAAGAAAATGCAAATTTCCAGTTCTGATGTCTATTTCGAGGGCCTGTAACAAGGCTTTTAATCAATGTATTATACATCAAATTGATAATGTTAACTTCTGATTATTCAAATGTATGAAATATTCATAAAGAACCATCCAAAGTTTTACATTTCCCTGATTTTTTCCCTCCCCCTTCCATTAATTATCATGCCTGGAAGCTTTTTTTAGCAAAAGCACCAGTCATCATCTTGACTCAACCTGACAAGCTAGCAAGGCCCAATTACGTTGGCACTCTGTGGCACTTTGATGTAGTGGAAACGAAAAGAGATAGGGGCAAATTGTATAGCACATTATGTTAATGACATGATTTAATCCAGCCACTAAACTTTATGTAGCCTGTTAAAAAAGATGCTAACACTAATTACGCCACTTTGGAAAGGAAAAAGAAGGGGACAAGCATTTCCTACCGACAAAGCGAAGCTCATAAATGTTGTAAATGCAATGAAACAAAATGAAGTAATCTATGATTAATTATACATAACAGACAAGAAAAAGAAGGCGAAAAAGCAAGTGGTATAGTTAAATCCTGGGTGGAAAAAAATATCTGTTAAGATTCCTTTTATGATCAACATAACTAAGAAATAACCATGGACTGTTTGATTTGCAACCTGCAAAAGGGGAACAGCATAATCTTAAGTGGCTGAAACAATGTGGCTTGCCATTTGGATTCACAGGATAATTAGCGAGGCAATCTCTAAATAAAATCGGAAGTTGTGTTTACAGTGTTGGAACAGCCTTGGGGATATTTATCTCACTGATAAAAATAAGAAGCTGGATCTTGAACAAAGGTTTTAGTTAGGTTTTTCCCCCTCCTACAACCAACTAGGCATTTCTGGTGTAATGGCTTTCTTCCATCTAGAGATTTTGATCGTAGCTGTAACTGCTATTGCAAACACTTCGGCAAACGGCTATAACAGAAGCAATTTCAAGGGGAGAACCATAGCCCAGTGGCACAGCACATTTAAGCTATGATATCTCTGCTTTAAATGACACACAAGAAAGGCCTCAAGTAGCAGGCCAGGAACCTCAAAGATCTGCTGCTAGTTGAAGTAGATGGTACAGAGATGCACGCACGAGCACTCAGATTAGTGAATTAGTGGCGGTTCTTAATATATCCTTTTAAATCAAGGTTGGATAACATGTGGCCCTCCAGATGTTGCACAGCCCAACAAGCCCCATCAGCACTGCCAGTTATCATGGATGATGGGTGTTGTATTCCAGCAACATCCACAGGGCCATTGGTCTCTAACACCTGCCTTGAACATCAGATAATAATTGCATCTTGAGTATAAGAGTTCCCATTTGTAGAAAGAACTGCTGGATGGGGGTTATTAGGTAGGAGAAAGTCCCCTCGCCCCTTTTAAGAGTCATCTTCAGCTCAGTGGGATTTCCTTCCAAATTCAGCATACATCAAGCATGCCTAAGTCCCACTGAAGTCAAAGGGAGAGGTGAAGCACATATTTAATATTGACTTATTGAAACAAATGAGACTTTGAAGTGGCTGGGTTATCCCCATTAATCTGAAGCAAATCTCCTGAGTTCAAGTGGGACTTAACTTTCACTTAACAGTCCTAGTCCATCAGATGCCTAAATGTACAGGAGCTCCAGAGCATGCGAGGACTTCACTGTTCACAGCAAAGGGAACTGAGCACAAAAGTTTCCCTTAAAACAGGTGGCAGGTCATGCCCAAAGAATTGCCACTAGTTTAGTTTAACAGATGTGGCAGCAATACTCTGTAATGACATCTTGGTATCCCAGTTTGCCCCTGACACTGAAGTGAGCAGGGCAGCCGCTGCTCATGAATCACTTATGGAGAACTGGACTGTGCCCTTGATAATTAAGATTTTTTTCTCCATCTTGGACCAGTTGCTACATTTCGTCTTGGGCAGATGAGTGGAGAAAGATAGGAATAAAAGACCCACGCACCAAGCTCTTTAGAGGCTGCAAGATATTTTAAGTCCTCCTAAATCATTCTGGTTATAATAGAGTGCAACAATACTAGAGATTTGTAGACCCAGCTGCATTCTTGCAGGGCTCATTGGCAATGAGTAATTTTCCTATTTGGCTCACATTGTTACAGCTTAAAAGAATTTGATGGCATGGAATATGCAGTTAATCATAATACAGTTCCAGCTATTAAAATAATTTCTCTCTCTCTGTCTGGCTTAGATAGGTGGCAGAATTTCAAAATCCCTGTGAGGGATGATGAATAGACAAGAAGCCAATCAAGCACGAAACATTGTTTAATGTGCCTGGTTACGGGCTAAGATGTTGCACATGCGTTTTTTTCTAAGCTAGTGCCTAAACATTATAATCAGGCTGATATCAATCATTGTAGGCACAACACTAAAAATTCAAGGCCAGATTTTGAAGAAAGACGTTAGGAAGCCTGAAATAAGTTAGAAAATTCCCCCACTCTTTGTCACATACAGACACATACACCCTCCATCAAACCTCACCAGTGCCCCTCCCCATGCCACAAATGGGTATTCTGTTCTCTAATAGTATTCACAAAGGACTAATTAGAAGTTGAACAACCTTCTTGATATTCTAAGTCCAATATCAGTGGGTGGGGTGGAGGGTTAAAAAGCCTTTGATAAGGTATAGACGGAAGAATTCAATTACACAAAGAGAGAGACTAACCTGCTTAAGGCTTGTGGACACTGAACTTGGGACAATACAGTCATCACTATCTGTCACTGATTCAACAGCATCAGTTGCCTGTCTATCATCTTGGTCTGTTGTGAAAACAATCAGAACAGAAACAAACAAACACACACATAGCCAGTATTAAGTCCAGTTGAGATGGTCAAAGAAAACTGTTAAAACACATGGTATAAAAGCGAATGGAAATAGTTCCACAGAGTGGTGTACGATTTCTCTTCCTTGCAGACACAACGTGACACTGGCCAATCAATTATCATTAAATGGTCTGCAGAATCACCCGATTCCTCTTCAGGCCTCGTTTCACTTTGATTTGGCACTTGGAGAGATTCAGTGTTACCAATTCATTCATAGTAAGAGATTATTTAAAAGAAAAGAAAAGAAAAGACCAAACCCTGAATATTTTGCATGGCCTCCAAGCCTATACTGAACAATTCATATCAAGTTTGCTGAGACTTTGCATGCATTCATATGGCTTTAGTTCAGGGGACAGTGCTGCTCCCTGTCAGTTCCCAAGGTTAACTGAGATCAAGTTGTCATTCCATATGCCAGGCTTCCCTGTGGTGTGCAGGTTCCAGTTTATTTACCCATAACTTATTTACATACTTGTATAATCTGCTGGGGACAGCTTCTATCACATCTATGGGTCTCCTTTGCCAAAGGAATGATGATTTATTACTTTACCACCAAAGGAGTTAACAAAGGTGACACTCCAGGGAGGTGTTCACACTGGGGATATTGCAACCCTGGGAATAGCTTATTGGATGATTATACAAATAAGTGTTTACTATCATGTGCCAATCCAGGAGCACAAATATAATTTATTACACAAAACCACTACCCAACTTGAAGAAATTGTTCACAAACAATGCATTTCACAGCAGTTACACTGACCATGCAGCCCCTGAGGACTAGCCATTTTGCAATGTTTTGTAGGAATGGGATGTTGGTCATTATCACCCTTTAACAACTCATGAGTTGTCCACATAATGCAGTTGTATGTGGGAATTTGGGGATACAAGGAAATGGGGCTATTTCACATAGATGTGTCTACTGCTTGTTTCCCCCCCCCCCCCCGCAACAAGATTACTGTAAACGTCATAATTGACAGCAGAAGTTGTGAACCAACTCCTTTGAACTAATTGTCCCTAGATTGATATGAAAGTTTGTGGTGCTACAACCAAAATGGCCCATTCATACATACAAAGTGACACTAATACTTCAGGTTATCAAGTGATGGACATGCATGGAATAGCTAGACTATGCTCTCCTTTTATGGTCACTGGTTCAACTGATCATCTATGCAGGCCTCTACTGAACACTGAATCCTGGTCTGAATAGGTCCTATAATGCAAAACAGCTTTGTGGCACATGACAATTTATGCTTCTGGTTGTTACTGGAATTCAGAAACTGCTGTTCTCCCTGCAACGCTGTTTGTTTCAATGGCGCTTGAATGGAATCTGGGCCTGCAATAGAAGGTCTCTCAGTTCGCTTCCTATACAGTAAACATATAATAATAATAGTAATAGTAATGACCATGACCTGGGATGTTTGCATTCTTTGCATTAAGATGCTTCTAGCTCCTTTCATCCAGAGATATGTGATAGGTCATATACTAGCCTCTTATTGTCTGAGACTCCCTCTCTTTGACATTATGAGTGGTTGCTATCTGCAGACAAAAGGACCACACACTTCAAAATAGTCTTCAGAACAGCACCTCTTCTGAAAGAGGAATCTCTCTTCTGAAGAGAGAATATAAAGACATTTTAAAACAGAAGCCAGCATCCTTTAATATTTCATGGAACTTGGCTGGAAACTCCCTCCCACCTTCTTTCTCAATTATTACAAAGCTGGACGTTATTCTTTTAGTCTAACACACCAACTACTCCAACTTGGCTACAGATGTGAGAGAGCAGAACAATGGCCTCTGCTGAAGTTAATTCAGCAGTCAGCTTAGGATGGGGAGAAATTATTTCTGTTTGCATTTTAACTGGAACTACCAAATTCACATTTCCCAACCCAATATGCATATAACCCAGGGGTTGTCAACCTTGTCCCTACCGCCCACTAGTGGGCATTTCAGGATTCTAGGTGGGCAGTAGGGGTTTTATGGCACAAGCTGAATCTTCCTTCCATCGAGCACTGTTGGGTGGTAAGGAAATTTTACCATCAAGAAAGATGCATTAGTGGGCGGTAGGTATAAAAAGGTTGACTACCCCTGCTATAACCCCACTGCCCTATCAAATTTGCTGTTCCCTGAATTTTGTGATATAGTTCACAAACAAAAATGCATAATTGTGTGAAAGTAGATACAGTGGTACGTCTGGTTGTGAACGGGATCTGTTCTGGAGCGCCATTCGCAACATGAGCAGAACACAACTTGTGTCTGCGCGTCGCGATTCGCCACTTCTGTGCATGCGTGTGACGTCATTTTGAGCGTCTGTGCATGCGCGAGCGGCAAAACCCGGAAGTAACCCGTTCCGGTACTTCCGAGTTGCCGCGGGACACAACCTGAAAAGATTTTGCCTGGAGCAAACGCAACAAGAGGTATGACTGTACAAGGATGCCTGTATTAGTGAAAATAGCAAACAAAAATGAAGACTGGGGTAAATAGCTGGCAAAAATGTACATGGGAGGCGAATCTGTGCACCGACCTGTGTATATTGGGTGAAATGTGCACAAAATGCATATGAATTTTTATGCAAACTTTTTTTTTTAAGTTGCAAACTGAGGGAGAAATGGGATGAACTGAATATTGGAAAAGTGAGAGAAGTGAGAGAAACCAACATTGACAGATCTGGCTGCCTTTACTTTCAACATCATATGTCTAATAGGGAGCGAAGCAGAGGTACGTTGTATAAGCAGAAAATTACCTTCTGGTTCCAGTTCCTCAGTAATTTCGGTTTCATCTCCTGAAGTAGCTGAGCTCTGGTCAGCAAACTGACCTTCAGAGAGCTGAGAAAGATCCTCCTGTTCCCGCTGAAATGTGGCTGTGGGTTTTCCTATTCTTCTGTCTGCTTGTGTTTCTGGCGTGAGCTGGAGTACGGATTACAGAAGCCTTCATACATGGTACCGTTAAAGCTATTGTTAGCATTTAATTTTACACAAACACGGTTTTTAAACTTAAAATCTGTTTCTTTAAGGTCTGATTTCCAACCTGCTAAATTTGACAGCTGAGATTTATGCATCTTCTATAAAAGAGGTTTGAAATCTGGGCGGGGTTGGGGGGGGGAGAGGGTAAGTTCCACTTGCTTGTTGAGTTCTTGATATATTCAAATGCATCCAGCGTAAGCAGCAGGTCAGATGTATGAGAATTTCCCACCCTACACTCTCACGTTAGGAATGTTTTGTGCTGTGAATGCAACTTCCAACTTGGACAGCGGCCCACAGCGGAAGCGCTATGGAGACTGACTCCATGAACTCTAATCCATCTTGGCACTGCACTCTTGGTTCTTTAATATATAACATGACATGTCTTGTAAACCTGTATAAAGCCATTCACTAAAGCATTCAATTTGCAATGCCTAGCTTTCTCTTTTCCCTGTAGAATTTTTGCCATTCATTTCAGAGCAGCTTGTCAAATGACCAATCCAGGGATAGGGAGTAGGAGAGAGAATTACTTTCCTGTAACTAAGAACAACCAGTCTAATCTCTTAACCTTCCTTCGAAATGGGCAGTCTGCTATCTAAGTGGAATGCACAGAGTTACTATAGTTGCAGCATCCTTGCCTACCCCAGGCTGATAGATCTGCTGAGATCCCACAATCACCCTGCCACAAAGGTGATTTACCTAAAGGGTTTAACTATGCTATTATATTTTTGCTATTAAATACTGCGGACAACCTCGCACTATTTGGAAAAGCAGCCAGCATATATTCCCTGTATGCAGAGACATAAAATGTTTTCCAACCATCCTGTTAGGACTACAACTGACATCATCTGTCACCACTGGCCAAACTGACCGGGGCTCATGGGAATCGGACCTGAAGGGTTTCCCATCCATGGTATAGTTCTAAGACTAAATTAAAGCCATCATTTCGAATCCAAAATTAAATGTATTGATTACACAATCAATTAACGCTTTCAGCACCACATAAAATTAGAAATAAAATCTTGAATTAGTGGATTTTAAATTTCTTGTACCTGTGGAATGTTTGAAACATCGGGCCTTTCATCTTTATTTTTCTGCTCAGTCTCTTGATCTTCTTTTTCAGGAATGGGACTCTAAAGTTATTAGGAGGCAAATATAGACAGCATTTCTTAAAACTCAATGGTCACTTTTTTAACAGGTAAAATCGGTAGCCACCACAGAGAAGGCCTTTTTGGTAGTGGCACTCTGCTATAGAACAACCTTTCCAGAGAGATTCACCTAGTGCCTTCCCTGTAATCTTTTTAGTGCCAGGAAGAGAACTTTATGTTCACTCAGTCCTTTAAAAATAATTAATGCAATCTGGTTCTCACAGTCTTTAAATCTGTGCTTTAGCTTTGGGAGTTGTGGAGAGTTTTGTTTTCTTGCTTTATTTATGTTTTTTGTGTATAAATTTCATTTTGTATAGAAGTTCTTTTTATGCCACCCAGATAACTTTTTGTTATGGGGTAGCATACAAATATTGTTAAAGCTTTAAGAATGAATAAAAATATTCAGCATATTTCTACTCAGTTTTTAATATTTATATTCAAAGCAGCTAACCATTTCAGTTAAACAGACAAACACAGTAAGACATCACTTAGAGTAGGCACCCCCAAACTCGGCCCTCCAGATGTTTTGGGACTACAATTCCCATCATCCCTGACCACTGGTCCTGTTAGCTAGGGATGATGTGAGTTGTAGTCCCAAAACATCTGGAGGGCCAAGTTTGGGGATCCTGATAAAACAGACCAACTGTTTATTAGGCAGTCAGTGTCATGGAACATCAACAAACTGGACCTAAAGACAACACAAGTGTAATCCTACATGAGAAAAAGCTATTGCAGAGAGAGGGAGGGGGGAGAGAGGGAGAGACGGAACCAACCTTTTTGGTGGTGGCACCCCATTTCTGGAATTCTATCCCTGAAACCCCAACATCATTACCCTTTCATCAAGGAAGCTAGTTTGTTTCTGTCTTGATTATATAGCCCCACTTTTTCCATCCCCTAGTTCTTGGAGATCTCATAGACCTTAAGATCTTATAGTCACTCAGTAGAAAAGGCAGAGCTATTTGAAAAGCCTATTTTAGGTTGCCTGGAGAAATGTGCTCTACACACAGAGAGAGAAAAAGTCCAGACTCACTGGATTTGGCAGCGTGTGCACCTCCACAAATGATACTTTCTTGTCTGCTGCAGCTGGGCGCTGTCTTGGCTTAGGCTGTGGCCTCTAAGGAACAAAGAGACTTGAGTCAAAAGCTAGCAGTACCAGCAAAGTTCCTGATAATGCAGTTTGGGTTCAAATGCACTGTCTTCCACACCCCACACCCCCTGAATTCAGAAGAGTTAAGAAGCCTGGAATATGCCAATCTGCTTTCTGGTCCAAACTACTGAGCTGGGAAGCACTGCAAACTTCATTCCCCAGGGATCCTACTTGTAATGGATGCTTAGTTCTCAGTGTTTCTCACTCAGTGGATTGGGCCAGTAGTTCTTCAAACGTTGGGAAGCTTCACAACAATCATTCCCCAATAGGGCTGTGACTCAGTGGCAGAACAATTGCTTTGCATGCAGAAGGCCCCCACATTCAATCCCTAGCCTCTTCTGACAGGGCTGGGTTTCCCCGACTGACACCCTGGAGAGCTGCTACTGGAGCAAGATGGACCAGTGAGCTGACTCAGTATAAGACAGATTCCTAGATCTCTGTGTTGGGGGGGGGTGTCTTTGGGGATCTTGAGTCCCAATTCCATCACACTAGGAGTGTGACAGGGCCTTCAACTGGAATGGTCTGAGCTTAAAAGAATTAATGCATGCCAAATTGGAACTGAGCCTGAGCCAGAGCAACTGAGATGAGTCCATACTTTGGTAAGCTGGGAGAAGCTTGCTCATCAAAATGTGTTTCAGTAGTGCACGTTTGTCTAGGTTTATTCATTTTTAAAAAGAGACATGGGGCTCCAGTGATGGAAAATTGGGCTGGGTGGGTATCCAACCACCATTTCATTTCATTTGGAGACACATATATACTCTTTAGTAAAAAAAGAAAAAGAAAAGGAAGACTTAAACATCATACCATTGGTGCTGACGAGAAAGAAGGAGCCAGGATGGGACCTTCTCCTTGGCCCTTCACTGGTTTCTCATTCTGGATGTAATCTGCTAGGTCTGCAGCAACAATCAAACCAGCTGGCTGGAGGTAAGCAAACTTCCATTTTAGTTCAACACTAATTGTACCAGTGGAGTGGCCTTTATCATCCGTTAGCTCAAAGGTACCTGAAATTAAGTACAAGAGCAAATATATGAGTTGGTTTTCTGAATATTTTGTATGTTGACTAAGCACCATCTTGCGGGGCTGGCCCTGGCCACTGCACCTGGGAACAATGTGTATGCTGCCTTGGGTTCCATGATGGAAGAATATAAGTGCAAAATAAATAAGTAAATTATTATAAAAAGACACAGTCTAACAGAATTATACAAGCTGTAATTGTATAGAAGGGCCTTTGCTATCATAACAGCAATGAACTACAATTAGTAAATCAGTTAGCATGGAGGAGTGGAACCAATTTTCACCAAGATCCCACCCATACACGTATGCACTTGGAAGTAAGCCCCATCCCCCCCCCAATGGAAATTACTTCAAAGTTAACTATGACAGAGGCCTTAGGGAACCACACATTTAGAAGTTCTCCTGCATGACCTACATGGGAATGAATGGGACCTGTGTGGGGGCTCTTGAACAACTGTCGTTCGTTTCAGAAGAGGCTGAAAGCCAGAGAGAAAGCCAGAGTGAGTTTTTTGAAAGTTATTTAAAATATTCAAAAGATTTAAAAGGTACAACAGCTGCAATGTGGACATGATGCTGGTATTAAGAGCTAGCAGGGAAGCAATGACCAAGCTGAGCTTGGTATTTCAACAAAATATAACAATTTAAATTTAAATATACCAGCTAGTTTTATAGTTTGGCAAAAGGTTCTTACCAGAGATATATCTGTCATGTGATAATGAAATTAAAGGCACGTTTGCTTTTCCTAGATAAACCCCATCTTCTGTTTCATTGTCATCAAAAACATACAGACTCAAGGATTCAGATTTTAGGTAGCAATTGAGGTCTGCATTCATTGGCACTGGGAAGCACATATGATCGGCAAACTCCGGGTGGTTGCTGCTAGGAATGATGGCGGTATCGTGATCCGCAAAATCAAAGAACTTGTAGACAACATAAGGATTTGGCTGGAGGTTTCTCTTTCGGCACTGTAGGTTGCTACAACATTTTATTGTAATGTGAAGCTCATTTAAGTTTCCATCTGCTGAAGTGTTGACTTGGGCAGGACTGAGCACTGGCTGTTTTAACAGGAGGAGAAAAAAGCTAATTAGGTGAAGAGAGACTTATAGACACACTGGCAAGCTGAAATGCACACAAAGATCGAACTGGCATTAACTTTGATGTACTGGGCTAGGACTGGGGAGAGGCATGTTCAAAGATCCCTAATCAGTCATGAAGGTTGTGGGCTGATCCAGCCACTCGGAGCCTAACCTACCTCACATGATTGTTGTTAGGTTAAAAAGGGGGAGCCATGTACACTACCTGGAGCTCCTTGGAAGGAGGGCATAATAAAAATGGCACAAACAAATTTGAGACGGTATATTCTAAGAATTAATGAATGTCGGTCACAGCTTCTACTATGGCACCTTCATTATCTGATGTGCAGAACAATGTATTCCTCCCAGTCACTTTCTCAAGCTGGAAGCAGGAATCTTCCTGCTGGGACTGATGATGTCATGAAAGCAGCTTATTCAAGAATAAACTAGTCCTGCAAACTCCAGAAGTTGGCAGTCATTGTTTTAAACAAAGGACATCTATAAAAAGAATATTGTGGCTTGTTCCTTAATGGTTCTGAAGTCCCTTTCTCCTCCTCCTTATTCCTGCTAATTCCACTAGGAAAACCGGTGACCCACCATAAACTTTGTTATTCTTTGTTGTAAGAACCTAAGAAGATCCTTGCTGGATCGGGCCAAGGGCCCACCTTGTCCTAGTACTCAGCTCTCACAGTGGCCAGCCAGATGCCTATGGGAAGCCCACTAGAAGACCCTGAACACAATAGCATTCTCCCCACTTGTGATTCCCAGCAACTGAAATTCAAAGACATATTGCCTCCGATAGTGCAGGCAGAACACGGCCATCATGGCTAGTAGTCATTGATAGCATTATCCTTCATCAATGTGTCTAAACACTGTTATACTTTCTTCCCACGGTCTCATCTCAGTGTCCATGATTTGGGGTCTGCTAGCGTAGGATGGAGCTATGCTACTGAATCCTCCTATAACCAATGGATGCATGGATTATTGGCTAGGGTGATAAATCTGGAGGATTACCTGGGACACGTGTGAGCAGATCTATGAGTTCACATCTTGGCAAAGCATTTAAGGCAAAACCAGAAATTCTATAGGAACACACCCGTATGGAAAAAAGACATATAAACAAAATGCTACAACATACAGTGACATGAAGGGAAACAGAATTATGGCCACAACGATAAGGTTAATAAAACAAATCTAGATTCTTGAGCTTGCCTGGTCCTTTAGATTTGTCGTTATGTATCCGAGGGCTTTTGCCCGCTCTTTATACAGCCTGATTGCCTGGTCCATGGGAACTCTTAACCGGACCCAGTATTCCACAGTGCCATAGTTTCGGACACTTCGTCCAACTCCTAAACATAAAACATGTGATACATCACGAAGTTAGAGAGTCAAGTGTTCCAGCTTTCAGGCTTATGAAGATCTCCATCTACCATCACAGCAAAGCCAAAAGCCTAATTCCAGACCTCTCTTATCCAAATCCAGTTCTGTCAACAAATGCAAACATGCCCCAACCCACCCTTCATTTTGTGCACAGAACGATCCAGAGATCAAGAGAACAATTTATCCAGTATTAATAAAACACATCACTAAAGCACAGAAAATCGTACATTCACAACAAAATCTGTCAGTAACAATAAACTTTGAAAAACTCAGGTGGAGTGTCAAGTAACCTTTGCAGAGGGAGATGTGGCACTGTATTGTTTTATTGAATAAGATGTTTAATAAAAGTAGAGAAAGTGGGATGGGACACCAGAACTCCAAACACACTGTCCCAAAATGATCACCATTCTGGCACAGAATAATAAAAACAACGATCTTTTTGATTTGGATTGTGCAGTCAACGGACTCGCTCAATATGGTTTGCAATCTTAATTTCATTCAAAGCTTGATGCTGTTACGATCTGTTGTTCAGTATACAAAGGCAGTTTTTGGGTCACCCCTTATCCTTTTGCTCCAGCACTAGAAGCAGGACATATGTCCTGCTTAACCATGATTTAGAGCAGGATGGGGAATCTGTGGCACTTCAGATGTTGCTGGTCTATAACTCCCATCAGCCCTGACCATTGACCACGCTGGCTATAGCGGATGGGAATACAACAACAACTTGAGGGCCACAGGTCCAACAACCCCAGTTAGAAATTAGTAGTGCTGCATCTGCAAAGGTTATCAGTGTAATAATGGGAGCGCACTGTTTTATGTTCAACAGAGAAGATTCATGGATGTCCAAGAGATGACATCTCTTTTGGTGCCAAGGTTATGGAAATCCTTATTTGGGAAAGCTGGGTAGCCCCTTTCTTAATGGTGTTTAGACATGAAGTGAAAACTGCTCCCCACCACACCTTCTGGGTAGGTATAAGCAAGACCGATTTCTGATTTCTTACTCCTTTGGTCAAAGCAATTGTTTGCAAAGAGCTGCAGCTAAGATTATGAGTTTAAGCCTGCATAGTTCCCTTTAAATCAATATACCAGTAGCAGGAGGAACTCATTTTCGATAGTGAATGTAAAAGTCCAATCCTGATTTACTGGTAATGGGAGTCATGCTTTCGATTAGATAATATTTTTAATGCTTTCTTTTTTTTAGTGCAGCTTTAGTTGGAAGAAAATCCATCGTGACCCATCAATAGCCAATAAATATGTAGACCACAATGGGAATTTGATATTTTCATGGTAATTATTGAAACAAAACTATGCCTGCACCTTTAATGTTCTGACATAAATATTGATCAATCCATAATTAACAAGTAGAAACATCTGTTTATCTTTTTTTGATGTCTCAATTATACTGCATTTTGCGGTGACCTCAGATCTACCAATATGAATGACAACTGGTTCTTGATCTACTAACAAAGGAATTTATTTATAAGGTCCAAAGGTATGGTCTGAAGGCACCTAAAGCCACCACCTGACTAAGCAGGTCTGGGTCTGATCAGTACTTGGATGAGTAATGGTTTAGGAACCACAAGTACATCACCTTGGACTCCACAGCAGAGGTAAGAGCAGATACAAATGTAAGAAAACATAAAAATACATACATTTAGCTATCTGATTCAGGCCACCTGTAAACTTATATACGTTGTTGGTGGCTTGAACTGGAATTTCCAGAGCTTACATCAAAATACACGATCCTCACTATGTGTATCCAAGCAGGCATTTGTTGCCACATAATATGTGAAGTGACACTAATTCATGAACTAGTTTTATTGAAATTCACAGAAATGTAACTACACAAGTTTGCAGTTACTGAGTCTTTCCTTTCTGATGTGAAAAAACAGTCAGATCACAAAACTGAAAAGTGGATGTTGTCCAGAGATGGGGAAATTGACTCGAATTCCCCAGCAGCCGCAGACAGCATGACCAATGGTCAGAGATTAAAGGTAAAGGGACCCCTGACCATTAGGTCCAGTCATGGCTGACTCTGGGTTTGCGGCGCTCATCTCGCTTTATTGGCCAACGGAGCTGGCGTACAGCTTCCGGGTCACGTGGCCAGCATGACTAAGCCGCTTCTGGCGAACCAGAGCAGCGCACGGAAACACAGTTTACCTTCCCGCAGGAGCGGTACCTATTTATCAACTTGCACTTTGACGTGCTTTCGAACTGCTAGGTTGGCAGGAGCTGGGATTGAGCAATGGGAGCTCACCCCATCGCGGGGATTCGAACCACTGACCTTCTGATCGGCAAGCCCTAGGCTCTGTGGTTTAACCCACAGTGCCACCCTATGGGTGCTCAAATCTAGCAACAACTGGAGGGCCACAGGTTCCCCATTCCTGATTCAGAAAATCGTATTTCCTACCACACTCTACTTTCTGAGTGTGCGTATTTCTTTCTAATGCATCGTACCTAAAATTGCAAACAAATACACAACTGCAGCCAGTGCAGGCTGGGTCATAAGGATGTATGAGGCACTGCACCACCAGCTGCAGTCTGACCTCAGTTAGCGCCCATCTGCTTGCTTTTTTATTTGCAACTGGGCCAGGGGGTGGCACTGCCTGTCAGCTTCCTCCTCCTTAATCTCGGAGCTGCCTTTGTAGAACTCAGCAGGAAGGCAGAAGGAGAACAAAGCTAAAATTGGCTCTGGCTCCGCCTACTTCCTGCTTCCCGCGCTGCCAGTCCCAATGGGTACCAGCTGCCGCTCAATGAAGCTCAACACTGCAACATACATTACCAAGACTCACCAACTAACATGGCTGAGTTGTAGATTCTGCCATTCTTCTCCAATATTTCATGGAATCTCAGCTGGCAAGCTGCTGCTGTCTCAAAGTCCAAGCCATAGGCATGGTGGATCTCAAGCGTGGAAGAGTTTTTCTGCATGTATTGCAAAAAGAAGTCATCCACCCGTATGAGATACTGAGAAGTAAAATTATAGGCTGGGCTAAGGCCACGAACGACTGGAGTTGTCTGTAATTCGAAATCATAGAATGCATAGGTACAGAAAGTCGTGGGCTCCTGATCACCGAAAGACTTGGCAGCTTCTGCAGAAAATATTACTCTGCTGATGTGAATTTCAAACAAGTTTTCTCCTCTTTCTAGGTGAGCAGTTTCATCAAACACATCAACTGGATCATCTGGCATGATATCTGGTTTGAATTTGTACTGTTTGGTACCATAAGCAATATCCTTCAGCTGGGCTGGAATGCAAACAATAAGAAGTAGATATGACTCTGTTTGTTGGCATTAATGTCCTCTCTGCTGCTTTTGACAATTTCACTGGCTACCTGCCCTGTGATATATGCACATGACAACCAGAATCACTGGTAATATTAAAAATTTGGTCCCACTCTATAAACCTATAGGAGCAAATAACGCGAAATTCAGCTGATCTGCAGTTGAATGTAAACTGAACAGCAGTGCACTTTGTCTTGGGATATTTGTACTTTTAATTCCACCTTAACCATAAGTCACATTGTGGACCTGAGTGAGCCATTCTCTCTCAGCTTCGGTCCCCCTGTAATACAATGGGGAAAAGAGCCTCACAGTGTCATTTGTGATGACTGGAGAAAGGAAAGGTCTGCTTAGCTGAAGCTGTGCACAAATACAAATGCTAGCAAAACAATCATGATCCCACTCTTAAACAACACATGAGGAAATAAAGGGTAAAGCCCATATACAAACTTAACTAGCACTGAAATATGCTTGTCTACCTCCTTTATAACTGGAGTCCCCACAAAGACCTATTAGGGTGCCTGCACAAGGATCCTGTAATGCTCTTTCCAAAATCTGCCTGTGTGAAGCTTTTCTTCCTTTCATGTGGTTGGTTTCTTCCAGCTCTGGCTGGGCCTCTCCCAGTGAGAACATTCTCCTTTGCCCCATTCATCTTTGACTGGAGCCCAGCACTGGATGGTGTCCTCCCTTTTGTTCTGGATGCCAGTCAGAGGAAAGGAGCCCTCAAGAACAGGAGCACAGGAAGCTGTCTAAAAACTGGTCAGGCTATCGAGCTCCAACTAACACTGGCTTGGGCAGGGTTCTTTTACATCACCTGCGGACTCCTTTTTTGAACTAGAGATGCCAGGGAATATTACCTTTAACCCCCTGCGGATTTCAGCTAACTAACGATGAAGCAAGTGTTGAGGACTACACCTGGAACCTGATCTCAAACTGACACTTTTCCACTCTCCTAATCTATCAACCAGATACAAATCAGACCCAAGATATTTCCTGCTATTGAAACCAGAGTCCTGACCAGCATACCTTCCAGTTTCCGGATACGTGAAGCCCTAACGTCAAGAAGATGGACATATTGTTCCAGTTTTGCCTCGTAATCCTGCCTCAGAGCCTCCATCTTCTGTGTCACAGATTCTACTTCTGCCTGATGATGTAAAGGAGCGAGTAAAGCACACACACTCTTATTGGGGTAGAAATTGGCCCCATATTCATGTAACGTTTGTGTGGAAGGTTGTATTACAATTAAGTGTTTTAAATTTGTTGTTAGCCACCCTGAGCCTGGTTTTCTGAACCGGGAAGGGCGGGGTATAAATAATTGTTATTTATTAATTATTATTATTATTATGGGGTGTGATGGGACAGGACGTATCTGTTGTTCAGATAATATCTTCCATGGTATTAATTCTCTGGTGGTGGGGGCGAGGGTGGGAAGAGACGAAAAGCAGGTTTCTTCTCCCAGTTCCACTCACTGCAAGGAGATGTGGACTGAGAGACAGAGCACTCAAAATTTCACTAACTCTGACAATTACTCTAACCAGTTCTGCTCAGAAACACATCCTAAATTCAGTAAGGCTTTCTCAAATGTATGTAGGGTTAGGATTGTGGCCTAGGTCCCCTAATACAGGAAGCTGCCTTATACTGAGTCAGACCCATTGGTCCATCTAGCTCAATTCTGTCTACACTGACCAGCAATGACTCTCCAGGGTATCAAACAGGAATCTACCCTAGCCCTAGCGGGAATAGAACCTGGGGCCTTCTGCATACAAATCACATGCTCTTCTACTGAGCTCCAAATTAAGGAGGTCCTATTGCCCATGGGAGATTGAATCTGGTTGTTCCTCATGGTGCAAAGGGGGAGAGCAATGGGAGGGGAAAACAAGAGACGAAGGTCCATGCCTGATCTTATCCTGGAATAAACCTTAATGAAAATGTAATCCAAACAAGGCTCAGGAAGGAGAAAAAAATATTTTATGCTTGTTAGCCCCATACAGCCTTAGTCTTATGTTAATTATTTTTCTCTCTTCCCTTTAAAAACAGCTCCCCCTTTCACTTGGCTACAGTAGATCAATTTGTTAATTTAACAAATTTGAGGTCTTGGGGAGAGTTCCTTCTAGATGCCAAAACTCTCTGCAAAAATCACATGGCAACTTTTGTAGAGGTTTCAGAAAAAATACCAAGGCAGTTCACAAAAAACATAAGCGAACAGCAAAATAACAAGAATAAAACCAATTATAAAAATACAGCTACCCCTAATTAAAATGCACATTAAAACCACATTAAAACACCCCTAATTAAAATGTTTAACAAGTCCATTAAAATAATTTAACAGCTAAAACTACAATCAAAGCAGAAGGTTCAAATAAGATCAAGGAAATGTTTGTCTTCAAGAGCCGGCGGAATGCCAATACTGATGGGGACTTTTGTATTTCAGCAGGTACAACAGACTGGTTTCAGGGTGGGGGGGGAATTCTTGGTGTGGTACAACACGTATCTTACAATAAACAACTCATCACAATAGCACAGTCTGATAGACTTCAGCTCATTAAGACCTGGTTATCATGCAAAATCACAGATTCATTAATCTTAATATATCAGATTCTACAAAAAGGAAAAGGAAAACGCATAATGACAGAGATACCAGCAGTCAGCTGCACAGTGGAGAATTAAATACCTGATAGTCTTTGTTAATTTTATGCTGTACAATTAACATATTGCGTGTCTTTTCAAGTTCTTGAATAGTTTCTGCATGGGTTGCCTGGAGCTCACGCATAGAACGTTCCAGGTCTTTATGGATGTCATCTTCTACTTTCTCCAAGAACATGAGGTCGCCGCTTGCTTGCTGCCTACGAACCTGAGCCACAAAAGTTGACAGCATTATAATTAGCATATATATATATATATATATATATATATATTCAAAATTGAAACAGATGGACCTGTCATTTTCTGGCATTAAAATAAATCTATGCTTGGAGACCAATCTTGTAAATGTTTCAGTTCCGTGGAAAGGAACAAAAGCAACTCAGATCCATTTAATAACTGCCTGTGCAGCCTTTACTCAGAAGTACATTCTAATGAGTTCATTGGGATTAATTTCAACAAGAGCTGGTATAGTAAGTTAAGCTGCAACAGAACTTACTCCCAGATAAGTGGCACAATACTGTAGCCTGAGTACAAAAGCAAGAAAGAAGTCCCTGGTTCAAATATCTGTGCTACAAACTACTTTCATCCTGTTCAATTCCCTGTGACCAACATTGGAGGAGCACTCTCTGATACAGTGGTACCTCAGGTTAAGTACTTAATTCGTTCCGGAGGTCCGTACTTAACCTGAAACTGTTCTTAACCTGAAGCACCACTTTAGCTAATGGGGCCTGCTGCTGCGCTGCCAGAGCATGATTTCTGTTCTCATCCTGAAGCAAAGTTCTTAACCTGAGGTAATATTTCTGGGTTAGCGGAGTCTGTAACCTGAAGCGTATGTAACCTGAAGCATATGTAACCCGAGGTACCACTGTATGCACATTTTTATCAGGGGAAGGTGGGGAGAGAATGCAGGGAAGCTAAAATTATGGGTCTTACAGATGGGATAGGGACCATATGGAACAGTGAAAAATAGTACTGAGGAAACTCTGGGACACTGTCACAGGACCGAGTGAGAAGGGCACCTCATATGAGTACTCAACCTTTGGATCTCTCAGACCCTTTAAAGGGCCTGCTCCAAAATACACATTTTAATATAAATTTCATTATGCTAAAGGAAGGCATGGGGAAAGAGCACTATTTTCTATGCAAAAGTGCTATTAATCTGTAATTGTTCATGGAAACTACAAATGCTACAGGCGCGGGGGTTGGGGAGGGAGAGACCGGCTAAAAATTATTTAAGGCAGGAAACCAATCATTTTCTATTCCTTCTTTTCTCTTTCACATCACTGCAGTTATACTGCAAACAGAAAAACGACAAAGCAGGGCAAGGAGAAAAATGAAATTTCCCTCTAGTGCTTTTATAAATAAACAACTAGCAGGTTTTCAGCTACAGGGGAGAAAAGAAAATGCTTATGTTTCCAGAGTGTAACGTTTTAGCTTTGCACCTGCTTTTATATCATTCGGAATTATTTTTCATATCCTTCAGAATCTGTAAACAAAAAGTTGTTTTGATCAGACCTGTACTGGGGCAATGTGATAACACGAAAAGCAACTGTTTTCACTCTCAGAGAGAGAGAGAGAGAGAGAGAGGGAGGGAGGGAGAAGCTTTAAAGCAAATCCATGTAGGCTTAAGGTTAATCTACTTCTGATGTTGCAATGAAATATGTACATAACCTTAAAAAGTTCTATGCTGCCATCTTTTCTCTGTCTCCTGCCTTACGGAAATTGAACAGCAACATACCCATTTCATACAAGCAAGACGCATTAGCTAGCAAAAGCAGCACAAGAAAAGCCTTTCTTGAAACACCAGGTGTTGAGAGAGGATTGGAGAGCTGGGGGGTGGGGTGGGGTGGGGGGAAGCGGCGTACGACAGTTCCTGCAAGTTACCTTGATAAGCACGAGGGCCTCGCTGAGTTCGGCCATGTCAATGTCACTCTCCTGAAACAGACACAGTCAATAGGATGGCATCGTACGACAGGAATGAATAATGGAGTGAGACACTGAGAATACACAGTGCATTCGCGCTAAAACATGGCATTTTGCTGGATATCATGAATAAGTAAACTCTTGTCATATCCCTGCAATTCTTTTGCTTTTAAGAAAGGAACATTTGCGTGGTGCATGAAATATAGAAAAGCTTCGCCTCCCCCCCCACTCCTTTCTATCATTTCCTAAAGAAGTTCACCTTGGTGAAAAACTTCATGCGGTTCCTCAAGTCATCCAGCTGTTGCTTCTGCTCTAGATAGCGCAACCGCAGCTCATTGTTCTCCTGGGCCAGCTTTTCATTTTGGTCTCCGAAAAGAAAGAAAGAAAGAAAGAAAGAAAGAAAGAAAGAAAGAAAGAAAGAAAATTACAGATTCTGTTTAAATGCAGCAGAACCCTAGAAACGGCCATCATGGTCTTCAAACCTATTTTACTTAAAGCAAATATCGGTACATTTAAAACAAAGAACTGCCCCCTCCCTCCTTACCCATTCATTAAGTGGGATTCAGAAAGCCAGCAATAAAATTCTACCCATTCAGAGAGCACCCCTACCCTATGGGCCTGTAAAAACTAAAGGATTCCATGCAGTGGCTTCTCACTGCTATATGAAGAGATGCACTGGATTTGGAATTCCCTGCTGTGAGTGTACAAGCATGTTTAGGCAACCCAATGGGACCCCAGAGAGCACTTTTAATGTGTGCCATGCTGAGGGCAGGCACTGCTTGCCCACAAGCTATATCTCGACTGCCAAATGTGTATCTGTCATGTGTTCTTACTTTTATGATTACTATGGTAATAATATTAACAGAAAAGGGGCACAGAAATAGAGAGGTAGAGGTATTTTATAAGATACATGGAAAGGAGGTCTCCTCTCCCAAGATAAGCCATGGGCTTTCAAATGTGTTTACTAAAGTCAATGTTGATGTATGTCATAGATTGAGGGCAAGTAATAAAACAGCAGCATATCCTTATTTCACCTAAACCTGATTACTATTCTCCCTCCCCAGAAGGAATATCAATAGAAATGCTCCCACCTTCTATTGACAGGTCAAGTTTGGGTAACTAGGTTCATAAGTTGGTGAGGTGGGAAGATTGTGGTAGATTGTTGACTAAGAGAGATAAATGCTTTATTGATTTGCTTATTGATCTCTTACACATTGTATCTTGTAGACTGGATAGTATTCTCTGCTGACATCTCAGCAGCTACATATCACACACACATTCTTTATTACAGTCCAAAGAACCACAAAGCAGCTACATATCTATACCCTGGTTGTTTGTTTTGTTCTTGGCTTATTTTGGGCTGCTGTTTTCCCATCATGTTAAATGTTCTCAACAAATGTTTTTAGAACAATAACAAAAAAATGCCTGTCTTTTTAATGATGATTTTATGCATTCAGTCCCAAAACACACACACACACACACACACACACAGAGAGAGAGAGAGAGAGAGAGAGAGAGAACAAACTATATGCTTATAAATACACTGTCAACTCAATCTGCAAACATTCAGCTTAAATCATTTCCTTCAGAGTCATCAAGGGGTTGTGTACAGCTTAAGCTCTACTCAGAACAGACCAAGTGAAATTAATGGATGCAATGTCCTTTAATTTCAGTGGGTTTACTCTGAACAGGACTATCACTGAATACATATGCATTCTCTAGTCCAGAGGAGAACATAAAACTCATTTGCTGGCGCTGTGGGTAAAACCACAGTGCCTAGGACTTGCCGATCGCATGTTCGGCGGTTAGAATCCCCGCGGCGGGGTGAGCTCCCGTCTTTCAGTCCCAGCTCCTGCCCACCTAGCAGTTCGAAAGCACCTCTAAGTGCAAGTAGATAAATAGGTACCACTTTATAGCGGGAAGGTAAACGGCGTTTCCGTGTGCTGTGCTGGTGCCGGCTTGCCAGAGCAGCTTCGTCATGTTGGCCACGTGACCCGGAAATGTCTCCGGACAGCGCTGGCCCTCGGCCTCTTAAGTGAGATGGGCGCACAACCCTAGAGTCGGACACGACTGGCCCGTACGGGCAGGGGTACCTTTACCTTTACCTTTATGTTAGGGCACTCATAGCCGAGTGGAGATTTGAACACTGGTCTTCTGGTCCTTGTCCAACCCTCTAACACATACAGCACACTGGATCAGATATGTAATTGTTTGGAAGCATTTTCTGTGGGGAAGACTTGGGCTGTAATGATCTAACTTAAGCAGGAAGAATAAAGAGTACACTGAAGACTCTCCACCCCAACCCCTGAAACTATGATGCAAGCTTTTGAGTTCCTCTCTTTTTTGGGGTTGAGCATTAAGCAAGCAAGCAAACAAAGGCTGGAGGAAAAGCTATTTTTGTACATGATAAGACCCTCAGCCTGCAGCTTGTAGTAACAACCTAAAGATGGAAATATTCTGTTTCATTCTGTGTGGGACTGTTCTAATGGAACAACATAGCTACTTGTGCCTTTGGTCTAACTTAAACAAGATTCTGTATTGTGCGCACGGAGTGTTTGCCTGCTCACATAAAAAGAATGGGGATTTAAGAAAACAAAGATTAAGATAATCTACTGGTAAAACAAACAGCTGTCAAAAGCCGTTTGTGCTAATATCATCATCTGTAATCAATATGCACAGGGTGCTGACCCACGCATTCATGTTAGGAAAAAAAGGGGGGGAAAGAATTGGAATAAAGAGGCTCTTAAGCCTGCAATTAATTTAAACATTAAACTGCTTTTAAATGTTCTAACCCAGAGGATCACAAAACCTGAAACTAATCTGCACATTGAACAGGGAGGTGGGGGTGGAGGAAAGCAAGCAAGCAAGCAAGGAACCAAAACAGTTCTGCGTTATCTAAACGAACACATGGGCCTTTTCAAAGGGCAGCCTACCAATGGTAAATTGAAGGCCAAGGAAAGAGACAGGAGAAACAAACGGGATTTGCAAAATCAGCTTCTGTGGAGAAACTATCTGCCTCCAAGACCCACACTGCTTATCAACACTCTTCCTGGCATCTTTCCCACAGCTCATATGCTGTTCACGTACTGCTTCCATTTTGCCCACAGAGGACAGATTCCTGATCTGGATAGTTTTCTTTGCTTCTTTTAAAGTTTCTAGTCCTTTTCAGACACAAACAAGAAGGAAAACGGTACTATTGTGGCTGAAAGAGTCAGAAAACAGATTCAATCAGAGTGATCCTTAAATCCATTAGTTTTTAAAATAAGGGTGTTTTTCCCCAGTGTTTATAGATGAGGGTTACAACAGGCCTACCAAAAACTACTTGCCAAGATTGCCAAATCAAACCTTCATGACCCAAGGCAGTATCTCTCCGAGAACATGTCTGTTCTCTCTGCTGTACTGTCACCTACTGCCAACAGTACCATTGCATCATTGCTTAATGGCTGCTGTTCTTTTATACTGTACCAACTCCATGCTTCATTCATTGGCTCTTAGGGGTTATTTGCTCAGCCAATGTTGAAAGCAGAATTCAGGGCAATACTGGCCTATGGCCTGACTCAACTCACCTTAGCGTTTTCCAGATGTTGTTGGATTCCCAACTGCCATCAGTCCCTGCCAGCATGGTCAACAGCCAGGGATGATGGAAGTTCAAGTCCAGCAACATCTGGAAGGCCAGAAGTTCCCCATTTTGCCTTTGGGACTAGCAATGAGTTATGCAAAAACATGTGTGTTAGCACTCCAACACACTTTTACATTTTAAAATAAACAAAAGCATATTTGTGAGAGGGGAATCTAGATACACCACCAGAGGGAGTGTGTGCGCCTAGTTCAAGTTGTGCCAGGAAGTTGCTTTATACAGTCAGACCGTTGGTCCATCTAAAATATGTATTTTATTGCTGTATGAGGGCAGGATATTGTATGAGGGCAGGATATAATTTTTTTTTATAAACAAACAGCTACACTGACTTTCTGCTGCAATGGCTTTCCAGGGTTTCAGGCCAGGGGTTTCTCCATGCTCTACACAGAGATGCTGGGAATTGAACTTGAGATCATCTGCATGCAAAGCAGGTGATTGATTGCTGAGCTAAAGCCCATCCCCTACACTGGTGGGAACACTAAAGGAGAGAGAAGGCAGTGGCAGAAAGAGAAGGGATGACTCCATCCACTGCCAGCTCAGTTGACTTGAGAATCTGCTTGCCTGATGGAACTCATAAGGGGATGCAACCTATTTGCAGGAAGGGACTTTCAACATGCAAAGCAGATACTCAACACTGAACTGTGGCCCTTTCCCTAAAAGACCAAAGTGTGGGAAGCTACAGCATGCAGAAGTTCCTGGGTTCAGTCTCTGGCATCTCCAGGTAAAAATATCAGGTAGCAGGTGATTGGAAAGGCCATCTCTCTGCCCGAGACCTTGGAGAACAGCTTCCAGACAGAAGACAAATGCTGGGCTAAGGGGGCAAAGCATCCTGAGCCAAGGCGGCTTCTGATGTTCTGTGAAGCTCTCAGCTGAGTAAAAAATGGAAAACTCGCTTGCACACCTTGCAATGTCCTTCAGTGCAATTTACCTCGTTCTGCTTTCATTCTGGCCAAGATGTTGTTTTTATCTGTTAAATCCGACTTTAAAGCAGCCTCAAGCTGAGCAATCTGCAGCTTCAGCTGCTGCTCCTTTAACTTCCATTGCTGGTCGTGGGTCACGCCGAAGGCACTGAGGAATTAAAAGGGGAGGGGGAAATGGGGAGAGAGGGAGGGAGGGAGGGGGACAAAAAAGAATTATATTAAAGACCAACATATGGCATGTAAGGAACTCAGAAATAGGCTTTAACTGAAAATAATAAAGAGGGGAGTGCGGGGAGAAAGCGATTTTAGTGGCAGAGATCATTGTCATCATGTCTTAGGAATTAAGTAAACACATGCTGGTCTGCTGCTGTTGAAACCGAGGCGCCTCTCTCAGGCTGCGGTCGTGGGACATGAAAGGGTTTGTGGGATGAGCAACAAGGCTGGACTCAATTTAGAGCTCCAGAGCCAGGAGAGTTGGCAGCGGGCGAAGGTTTGTGGGGACTTGGGAAGGAATCCGGAGGCCTGTTCCAGAGGAATCTGCTACTCGAAACCTCAGCAACAGACTCCGAACATGGGCAGCCTTTGCACATTCAAACCTCTTTTCCTGTACAGCCCTGCAGTGACCCACCTGATCCATTTTCAAGACCTAGGGAGGGGAAAGGGGGGGCGGGGAAGCGAAGGAAGCCCAGAGGCAGTTGCCTGCCCAAAGAAATGTCGGCTACAGCAGAACAGCGGTTCTCCTATCATGAAACAGCCCCTCTGAAATGTAGTAAAAATCTTTGTACTCTTAAGCCAACTTTATACCCTTAAACCAAAAACTTGCATTGTTAACATGAGTAAGAAACCAGGAACAGAAGATGGCCTTTAGGAGGGAGGGGGAAGGGATGTGTGTCCAGAAAACACAAGTGTTTATCAAATGATTCACAGTTCAAAAAACTGCATGCATGGTGTGTACTACTACTTTTTCTTTTACCATATTTTATTGATTTCAGATATAACAGAACTAAGGACAGAACGACATTATTACCCACCCCTCTTCTACTTAATGTTCTTGCATTTAATACGGGGATCTCAAACAACAACTGCCCCATACAGGGGTCTCACAATGCTCAAGTTCCAGTAAATGTAGCAGCTATGGTTCAATGTTAACAGAATTTTGCAATTTTGGAGGCAGTGATTCCAGAATCACATGCAGCTCTGAGGAGGGCTTGACTTAGCTTCCTCCAGAACACTGATGTGTGTGATTGCCTCAAGATTTTTGTTTTGTTTTGTTTTGTTCTGCAGGGGCTTTACAAGTGAAGAGGAGGGAAATACTCAAATGTGCAAAATGTGCATGCCACAAATTCCTGTGTGTGTGTGTGTGTGTGTGTGTGTGTGTATATATATATATATTCTCCCTAGTTAAACTAGAATTCAGGAGAAATGGAATACAGGGTAGAAGGATCCAATAAAGAAATGAAATGGGCTCGGGGAAAATATGCTCGTTCCTTTAAAACATTTTAATAGACTGCATGCTTAAATGCTGTTATGATTTACTTATATATTGCTTTTTGATTCAAAGGACCCAAAGCAATGAATAGCATATGAAAAACTCAACAAAAGTCCATTCAAAACAATGTAAAATAGCAAAATCACAAAATGAATCCAACTGGAAGCCAATGCATTTCCAGGCCCAATTCAAATTGCTACCTTTAACCTATACCTGAAGGAATTAGCTCTTCCCAAAGAAGACTATGCTGGCCTTAAGATCATCTACAAAGGCACTCCCCAGAGTGCCCTATCTATAGGGATTGTGGAGGGAGGGCAACAATTGAAGGGGTCTTTTGGGCGACAGCCCCTGTCAATGGAACACATTCCTTAAGAGAGCTTGCCTGCGCCTTCTGTGTTAGGTGAAGACATTTGTTCCCACCCATGCCAGTCTTTGTAGTAATTTTTAGCATCTTTATTCGCTTACAGCAGTTAAGTTATTAGGGTTCAAGCCAATACCTCATTCTTGTCAATAGTTTTAATGTGGTTCATTGGGATTGCTACTTTAAGTATGGAAGTTTTCTTGTATACAGCTTTCTATAATGGAGAGGCAGGTTACTGAGATTTTTATATGATATGCATTTGTACTTACATATTTTAAATCATACATTTGTTCTGCATATTTTAAGCCACCTGAAGGCTCTGGTTCAATTGACACAAATTTAAATAAATTGCAATAATAAATATAATGCTTATCATCATCATCATTACCACCACCATCATTCTTTCATTTTAGGGCTAGTGACAGGAGAGCGTTCTCCACCCTTGAGGGTCAACTCAAGCTGAGGCTCCAATACTTTGGCCACCTCATGAGAAGAGAAGACTCCCTGGAAAAGACCCTGATGTTGGGAAAGATTGAGGGCACAAGGAGAAGGGGACGACAGAGGACGAGATGGTTGGACAGTGTTCTTGAAGCTACAAACATGAGTCTGACCAAACTGCGGGAGGCAGTGGAAGACTGGTCCATGGGGTCACGAAGAGTCGGACACGACTAAACAACAACATAGTTTTCACTTGTCAGAAAAGTTTGTGTACATTCAAGTCTCATGGTCATTTGTACATTTTCCAACAACAACCTCAGAATCTGGCTCTGGTTAAACTTAGAGCAATGTAGAATTCCAGTTTCTCCAAATCCGCATAATGCTGACTTTAAAGGCATACAAAATTGTTCTGAAATTTACTGCTCAGCTATCATCTCCTTCACAGTTAGGATTGCATTCCACTGGAATCTGCCTGGAATGTCTTTGGAGTATACTTCACCCCGCTGCATTTTGAAGCCATCTGGGTAATGTACAAATGGCTGACCATCCACCACACTGTGCTCCTAGTATGGACGGAGGGTCAGAGGAATACAGAGTCAAGTTCTTATAGTCAATGGAAAGTGGCTTCTGGAATTTCCACCTCAACATAATATGACTGGGACCAGCTGCCTGAAATGGTGTCACAACATCGTAAATGCATGGCATGAATATGCCCTAAATCAGCAAGTCAGACAGCTAAACTGGACATGGTACTTTGAAGCCACAGCAGCTTTTCTCTCTGCTCCCCAAGAATTGGATATTACTCTCTCCCCCTTAGAGAAAACGCAGTGACAATTGTGCTCTCTTTTGAACAAAAGCACTCCTACAGCTGGAGGGTTCTCCTTCCACCGACTCCATGATCAGGTGTTTCCTCATTAAGCCTCTGCAAATTGACTGTAATTGCTTCAATTTTCTGTTCGGCACCAGAAAATGAATTCAGTGCCCTGTCTCATTTCATGTTCAGTAGGTTTAGCCTCCTAATTTTTTATTTATGTGATATTAAGCACTGCTGACAGAATTTACACAGACTATTACCTCAGAGTGTCTTTACATAAATATGAAGTGCAGTCACAGTGCCAGCCTAAGGCGTTTTGGCACCTGAAAAAGTTAGAGTCACGCCCTGTGCTGCTCTTGATTGGGGTCCATTTTTTTAAAGAAAGGAAATTGAGACATTGAGGCCTAAGCTGGAAGTAAAAGAAAAGAAAAAGGGCCTACCAGCCTACTGCAATCTGCTATCATATCATGACAATGCTGTCTGTGGGCCAGCATAAAAGGGCAGTTGTGCTAATGAGTTAAAGCTGGGAAGTATTGCCAAAACTGACTGCAAAAATGTTTTAAGCTGACTTCTGTTACAAGGTTGCAAAACAACACCCAATGTTATAGACACCATTTTCCTTTGTTAGTAACTCCTGCAGGTTCAACTCTGGCCAGGATCAAAAGAATTGCAAAACTAATTCACTGAGTCCAAGGGATTTTAAAAGATTATTTTGCCTACCACACAGCAGAGCAAACTACTTTAGAAACTGGATAGCATTACAAAAGCAGCTTGTGATATGGAAGGGAGTCAGCAGTTAAAACGGGGCAGGCAGGGGACGGGCAGTAGAAAAGATCAACAGGAATAGCACAGGACCTTTTAGGAGAGTGGTCCCAGTCTTGAGATCCCAAGAGCTGCTTTAGTAATCACTTTGAGAGGCCACAATTACAATATGCAAATCTATAAATAAATAAATAAATAAATAAATATTCCCCTCTATTTATTGCATTTATCTCTCGCCTTTTTCTCTAAGAAGCTAAAGCTGGCGCACATGGTTTTCTACCCCCTCATTTAATCGACACAACAACCCTGTGAGGTAGGTTAGGTTGGGAGGCAATGACTGGCCATCCATAAGGTCTCTATCTTGTTAGGAAGCAGGTGTAGTTCATCAGCTTTCACTCAGCCCATGATTTTATCAAGGCACTGGTTTTGAAAATGTACAGTCTCTCCCAATTCAGATGTTACAGAGAAATAATGTTGGGTATTTTGTTTTATTACCTAAAATGTCAGGAGAAAACCTCAAAATGGTATCAATCAGCCCCAAATCTCCGAATGGCCACTCCCAGTGGCTTCATATAAATATTAAATAGCACTGGGGACAAAAATCATACTCTGCAGGTTAACCACCAGGGGTCCACAGACACAGTACAACAGTGCTTCTAACCCTCAACAGTCCAGATGAAATCAAAAGCTGCAGAGAGATCCAGGAAAATAAACAGGGCTGTACTCCCCTACCATCTCTCCTGAATAAGCTCATCCATCAGACCGACTAAGGCCAATTCAGTCCCCAAACCAGGCTTGAACCCAGACTGAAATAGGTCAGTTTTATCCAAAAGTGTTTGCAGCTGAACTGCCACTACTCATGCAATGGTTATTTTAGCCCATACATAAACTGAGAAATGGAATGTTAAAAGAGTTCTGTTATCAGTTATAATTTACCTGTTGTATAATTTATCATAGTTTTCTTTTAGAAGGTCCCTCTCTTTTTCCAAATCATTAATTCTATCTTGAAGCTGGAATGAAGACAAACGTTGTAAGTGATGCAATTAAAAAGCAACATTACCGACACTAGTAAAGCTTTCTGAATAGCTGCATGCATGGTTGTGCTTTCTGGCAGCCAGTGGCCGGTAAGCTTTGACATTACAGTGACTGCCCTGATGTCACAAAAGAGCAAGGCAGATTGGGATGGTGCAAAAATCAAGATTTGCAAAACGTTTTCATTAACGCAGGAGAATTTCTATTTTTGTAAGGTTTTTCTCCTTTTTTAATATCAACCAAACATTAGTGCATTGGGTCGACACATTTCACCTGTTTTATAGGTGGAGATGGCTCACAAGGTGGGGGCAGATCTGCTATGCTGCCTTCTTGGCAGGTGGCTGTTGCTTACCAAGAAGAGGAGGAGTGAAGCGGTGGGAAGGTTGGCGTGGTGCAAAAGCACTGATGGAGCCAATCTGCTACTCCTTCTGGTGCGTTTGCACCACGGTGCCCTCTTCATCCCAGTAACAGTGACTCACCTGCAGGGAAGCTAGTGTACTGGCTTGGCCCCATCTCGCAAGTTGCTTCTGTCTATAGGTGAAATTTAGATGGTGTTTGCCACCTTTAATGCAATCATAATGTATTAGGATGAATGCAGCATCTTGAAATGGTCCGATGTGTGACATCTGAACTATTGAGCTGTGCTCAACATTTCAAAAACATGCACCTCTGTTTATTTTGCTTTGGAAACTGTTGCACACACCGCAATGGTCCGACTGATCTTACACGGGTGTTCAAAGACTGCCCAGAGGCATATAAATGCTACTGGAGGTTAACAACAGAGCATTAAGTGCTATATATCCACCAGCTGTGACTTCCTAAGCCAAGACCAGAATGTTTGAATTATTGGGAGTCCTCTCACGACTTGGTCCAGGATACTACGCAGATTTCTCTAGCCCAGTTTAAAGGATTGTGCAAAGACCGTGCTCTCCCCCCCCCCCCGCCCCCAAGGATCTCACCTCTTCTAATCGCCGCTTTGAAAAATTTGTGGCCTGTAACTCACTCTCGAGGTGGAGGCACTTGGAACGTTCTTCTTTAAGTTGCAAATTGAGTTCGTCCCCCTTTGCCATGAGTGCATTGTGGCTTGCTTTCAGATTTTTTTGGTTCTGTGGAGGAGACGAGAGAAGGCAGCTGAAGTTGGGTCTGGGTGAGCAACATTCGGCTGCGGTCACTATTCTTGGATGAGGGCTATGGATTGAGTCAAAAGGTTTCCTCCAGCAACCTTTAAAGTGTAATCTCAATCCAGTCAACAGGAGATGCTCTTGCCATGTTTTTGACACAATGTCGTTAAGTTACACAACGGCAACGAAGAGGGTGGAGGGTGTTCCGCCCTCCTCCAGCATGCTAACCACTCCCAGTTCAGCTGTGATGAGCAGGACCAAGACAGACATCTGTTTAGCAATTAAAGCATTTTGCTGTGGTTCTTGTGGTTTGGACACGCTGACCCAAAACGCTACAGTAGCAAGCAAAAATGAACCCGACCACAAATATGTCCATGCAGCTCTTGTCATTTTGCTGCTAACCCACCAGCTGATGTTTCGTTTGCCTTCTTAATTCCTTCCAAGGGAGCTGCATTAAGATTTAATTAAAAGAAATTCTGCGTCTCTTTAAAATTTGATTCTGCACTTCTGTGCAACATCTGAACTATTGAGCTGTGCTCAACATTTCAAAAACGTGCACCTCTGTTTATTTTGCTTTGGAAACTGTTGCACACACCACAATTTGCAAGGCTTTGATAAGCATTTAAGTCTTCGGAAAATAATTTCACTCTATAACTCCCTTACAAATGAATGCGGTTGCTGTGCTGTGGTGCTTCAGCTTCGTCTGCTATGTCATATTACCATAATGATAAGCAGTGGACAAAAATGATAAGCAGTGGACAAAAAAAATCCAAATTTTCCATCCTAAGTGACAGTAATATTGCTGGTACAGAGGTCTGCATATGCCGAGTTGTGTATGTTGAGATATGCCCAAAAGCTGCATGCAAATGTGGGCTGCATCATTAATTCTGGTGGAGGGAGCAGATCGAAGCTGAAGGTATAGGAAGCATCTAAAATGCTACACTGGGATTTGCTGATCAGGATTAAAAATAGAGCAGGCCATGTTTTATGGAGAGAAACCTCCTACCAATTCAATTCCTTGGCATTTCCAGTTTGAAGGCTGGTGAAGGATATGCTGCAAAGGGTAGGCTTTACTGAAGAAGATGGACAAATAGACCAACTAAGCATCAGGCAGCTCTTAGCACCTTAACATTGCGAAAGACCATTCAGCACTTGAAGAACCTGGGAGGTGGAGTGTGATTCTGCACTAATTACAACTGAAATTCAACTAAATTTTAATTACTGAGCAAACATGTATAAGATTGCAAGGTTAGTATAAATTCCCATTTATTTCTTAGTGTATTATAAACATTCTTAGCTAGCCTTCATTTACTGCACAATCATCATACCATCTACTAAGAAGTAAGTTGCCCTGAGTTCATGGGAACTTACTTCCTGCTAAGTGTATATAGGATTGGTCTTAAATTTCCAGATCTGTATCATACTTTTGGTGATGAAAGAAGTGCCTCTCTAAACAAGTTTATTCCGTACATAACCCCACCTGGAGTTCTGGTGCACAAGTTTACAGTTCTAGCTGAAGTTCTGCCTACCTCCTGTAGCTGAAGAAATCTTTCCTCCATTGCTGCAAACTCATTGCTCTTCTCCACCAATTGTTTGTGGAGCTTAATCATTTCAACATTGTCCCGAATGCTTAACCTACAAAATGGCATGTTCAAAAAGAAAGTAATTGTGAGGTTTATGGTACAATAATAGTCGAGTCACCTTGTTAATTTTGCCTTGGAAAACTTAAAACCCTTCACACTTTCCTAATTCCAAAACACAACTGGGGAGAGGTGTGTGTATAACATCTAAAACAATTCCTTTCCTTAAATTTAACATTATAGGTTGTTAAATAAATACATGTTTTTGCAGTATGAAGATATTTGAACATTACTCATTATTTGGATGTATTGGTTCATTCTTATCAAACTTCAGTGGAGCCTATGGTAAAAGGTGCAGTATTATACTTACAATAGGAAGAGAGAAAAAACACTTTCCAAAACTTTGGTGTTAGAGAATTACTGTTTAATGGAGCATTATCCAGGAACGTAACCCCTTTTCCAAGTATTTCCAAGGCAAGCGGCTTAGCATTTTACACAGATAATGCCCCGAGATTGGCATTCAAATTAGCTGCAGATGTATCTTTAACAATGACCATCTTGACCGAAATTCTATATGGCTGAGATTCTGTTATGTATTTTCCCTGCTGAGATTCAATTGAAAATTCACTATTTAATCTTGTTAAAAGTCATCACGCAGCTAACTGCAGATATACTTTCAAAAACCTATCCCTTGAACGGTGCAGGGTGACCTCATTATTATTGTTTTTGCATGTATTTCAACCAAAAAATGTTTTAAAGGAAACCCCTGAATTGGTCTTAACTGCTAATGCCAAATAAAGTGTGATAAACATCAGAACAGAATCTCACATCTTGAAATACATTGTTTCTCCTCTAATACTTATCTGTTATAGACAGACTGGAAAAATTGTCCCAGTGCCATGCTGGAACCAGAAAATAGACTACAAAGCTTACACATCTGTAAACCAGCTGAGAACTTGAAATACTTTAATATATATATATAATTCTTTTGAAACTCAGGGTCCATTGTGTTTTGCCATTACCTAGTCAACTGTCCTTACAGAGAAGATTAAAAAGCTCGCAAACCAGGAATCCGGTTTATTGCACCCTTCATATAAATAGATGTAGCAAGTAGAGGAAACATTTTTGCCTGATGCTAAACACTAAAAACTCTAATGCCATTTCATGTTCTTCTGAATCTTGTTTCTCACATCAAACAAATAGCAGGGATAGCTTCAAAAGAGATTTTACAGGAGTTTCTCTCCCCCACCCCACCCCATTTTTGAATAAAAGGAGTTGAGAAGAATGACATTTATGATACATGCAGATCTAAGCCAAATGTCTCCTGACAATTGACATTAACTAGTATGTATCACAGTGCCTAACTCTTTGGCAGTGTTCAGACCTAATGGGGAACCATGGTCTCCCACCAGGAGAACAAAGTACAGCGAGTCTGAGGCTCACACACTTTCTTTCCTCCTCTCCTTTTCTTTTGCATGCCAGGAGGGAAGAGGTGGAAAGCTTATTCTTTTGACTTTAAACTAACCACAGTTTCCCATTACACCTAAACTCAGGGAACTGTCATTTGTTAAATGATGGTTTGTGAGCAAAAGTCAGAACCATACAGATTCATTTCAGATTCTGGTTTGTTGTCACTAACCAGAGTTTAAGCCAGGGCTCCCCACTTTTTGGCGCCTGAGGAACATCTGAAAACCTAAGAAACAGCACAAACTTCCATTTTAAAAAAGAAAAAACTGACATTGCTCAGAACTTCCCACAACTTGAAGCAGACAAACACCTAAATAAGGCACAAACAAAGTAGGGCAGCTCCCAATGACCCAAAACATAGAAAAAGAAAACCAGAGGGTGTTGGAATGGTAGTCCCAAAGGAGTGTACATGAGGGAGCTATGGTGCCCAAGAGCTTTAAATGAACCAAGGTTGCCTAAGTAGCTTCCAATCGCTTTTTTAAAGGTGCAAAAGAAGAAGGTAAAGGAAATGGGGGAAGACAACGACACAGTCCAGGGCTTGCAGTAGCCCTTTCTTGCAAGCATTTGCCACCAGTGCTAGCCATGCAAAACCAGAGGAACTAAGTGGTTTTCCTTTTGACTGGATAATCTTCCCATCTTGCATTTCTATGTTTTTGGCCTAAATCATCCTGACCCAAAGCGCTGCAGATTAAGTGACCTTAGTGAATGCAAAAATGGAACTGAGTAGAATTAAAATATATTACCGTGAGCAAAGTACCCATGCAAATGATGGAACCTAGGAATGTTGTTAAGAAAACAAGACTCCAGATGGACAATTCATGAGCCATGTTTTGCCAACATGAAAACATCTGTTGTTCCGAACAATCTGGGATGACCCGAGCCATCTACATGCAACCCATATTGCCCAGATTGCTTCTTCTGCACAGCATGGTCCTGGTGAGATTTCATGCTGGGGTGATCCAGGGTTGATTTTTTTTGCTGTGCATGTGTGAGAGGGAGATCTTGCAGCAGTTTACTTTGAACTGCTGTGGCAACAAACAAACATGGAATATGGAATTTGTGTTCCGAGCTTACATTTCTAGTGCTATCACACCCTGCTGCCAATTTGCTTCTCATAACCTCCCCACCCCCCACCCATATAGTAAGCAACTTTGCTCATGCACATTTGAGCCTTGGAGACATGATGGGAGTCCATTCATTTGCATGTATTTAATTGGGTTTGATCGGCACTGTTAGTTCTGTCATCAAGAAAGCGACCCCAGTATATCAACTGGCCAGTAACAGGTAAAGTAATACCTGATGTTCCCCATGCAAATGCTTGCAAAAGCAGCACAATAAAACCCAGGTGCAAGTAAATCAATTACTTTACTGTCACACGATTGGGTACAACTTATGAGTTGCGAGCATTTCCATTCCATTTTACCGTTGGCCAGTTGCCTGCTGCTCTTTCAGCTGCAGGAGAGCTTCTTCAAACTCCTCTTCCTTTTTCCGTATTTCGCTTCTGAGCGTTTCCACTGCCTGCGCCAACTCCTCATTGTGCGCCCGTTGAGACTCAACCACATTCTCCCTGCAACAGTCAAAGCGCTTTGAGTTTGTCAGTTAAAAAGCGGAAGCTTTACGCTTAACATAATGGGAAACTAGAATGAAACACATGTTCTGCCAGGTATTTAAATGTTTATAAGAGGTTTACTTCTTACTGGTCCCACTGGTCCCAAAGTTGAGAAGGCTATATGAAACAGGCAAAGAAACTGCGGTATGACAGGCTAGGTTTTGTTAAGGCAACAAAGCTTTCTAAATTGAAACCCAAAATTTACACCTGCATCCTTTAGGAATTCTTCCCATGGCAACTTTTTTCTAAAGCAGTTCTCTATTGTCACAGAAGATTCTGATCTAGGGCATCAAGTTAGTTTACAAGCGCTGGGCCTCACAAATGCAGTGAAGTAAATCCAGTTAATAGTGACTCCACGCTGATCTATCAGTAGTGTGAACAAGCCCTTATTTATTTATTTATTTTTTATTTATTTATCAAACAAACAAACAAACAAAAAACAAACAAAAATAAACCCTCCCAAGTGCTTTAAAAAATCTAAAATAAAACATTAACATTATTGATACAAAAGAATTAAAAACGAGTATCTAACAATATCCAAAAAGTGATTAAAACCAATAACTAGTAGCTGAAAAGAAATAAAACACACATCTGTATAGGCTTGCCAAAGCAAAAATGTTTTAAACAGGTGCTGAAAATCGTACAGGGAATGGACTTGCTTGATGTCAATAGGCAGTGAGTGCCAAAGTATAGGTGCTGACACGCAAAAATATCAATTTCTTACAAGTGCGGAATGAGTATTATGTGGCAACTGTAACGTTGCCGGTTCCGCAGATTGACGCAGTCAAGTGGGCTTATATGGGTAAAGTGATCCCGCAAGTAAATTAGTCCCAAGCTTTTTAGGGTTTTATATACCAATAATAACACACTGAATTTGGCCCAGTAGCAATGGGCAGCCAGTGCATCTCTCTGAGCAGAGGTGCTATATGCTGACAGAGCCCTACTCCCTGCCAGCAACCATTCTGCCCTAACTGCAGCTTCTGGATCAAGTTCAAGCAAAGACCCACTTGGAATGCATTACAGAAACCCAGCCCTGAAGTCACATGAACACCCGTGGTCAAGCTCTCCTAGTCCAGGAAAAGCAGCACCTGCTGCACCAGACCCAGCTGATCTTCTTTTAGGGAAGTTTGTCCATCATGACTGATGTTTGCTTTGATAACCCGCTTTGACACTTATCAGAAGAAGAGGGGAGTTCTCCAGAACACAGTTTGAAGGACAGCCTGCATATATAAATGCTCAAGTCTTGAGAGGTCAGGGGTCCTATTCTCTTGCTCACCAATAGGGAGGATGAGGTTGGTGGCCTCAGGGACAGAGACTTTTCCATAGTGTCCTCTACGAAACAGTGGGTATATCCGGAATCACTGTTCACTACGTCTGTTTGCGGACCACTTCCACAGCGTTGGACGTCATAAAACAAAGCTTTATGCCTTGTTTTCATCAGATAAGAATCTGACCCACTGCTTCTTTCAGAGACTTGCATAGTCTACAAAGACTTTCAGAGACTTATAAGACTTATGTTTATTTGTTTCTATGTTTTCTATTTGGTTTCTCATATTCAGTGTTCCATATAGACTATATAAAGAGTTTATATTGATATTGCATTGTTGTACTTGGTTATCGTGTTGCCTTGGATATTACTGATAATTGTTTGCAACACAGGGGTTTAATTGTTTGGTTACTTAGTATGTTTTGTAACTGGTGTTTTTAAAAAGCTCTTGTTAACTGTAACACATTCTGGTTTTGATGTGGTGCTTTACCCTTCTTTGTAAGCTGCCTTGAGAGGACCTTGTCCTTCAAATGGTGGGATGTAAGGATCCCCAATAAATAAAATAAACACTTCGCTAGCTCCCAGTTATGAAAAACATGAACGCTGCTACACTGTGTTAAAATACCGTAGTTTTCGCTCCATAACACGCGTTTTTTTCCTCCTAGAAAGTAAGGGGAATTGTCTGTGCGTGTTATGGAGCGAATGTTTCCCTCCTCCGTGGTTTCCAGCGGGAGAAGAGCCACTGAATGGGGAGGAGAGAGGGACAGAGTGCCTGCTTCTTTAAAGGAGCAAAGCGAGTGTAAGCGGCTCCTGTCCGGTAGGCTCTTTTAAAGCAAGCAGGCTCTCTGTCCCTCCAGCAAAATTTTTCAGCTCGCTAAGGGGGGGGGGGGAGCAGAGCCTGCTCCATGCGTGCTCCTTGTCCCTTGAGTGCTTTTCCTTCCCTCCCCACTTAAAACGTGGTTACAAAGCACAGATCCACATGGATCCTCAGGATTTTTGCACTGGCTCACCCCAAACTCACCGTCAGATCACACGTCTGTGGCCACAGCATGAACCACAAAAATCATACATCCACTGTTTCATTTAGAATATTTTTTTTCTTGTTTTCCTCCTCTAAAAACTACATGCGTGTTATGGTCGGGTGCATGTTATCAAGCGAAAAATATGGTAATTACAATCGATTGCTAAAACAATCAATTGCTTGTACAAAGTATTTTCGTTTCACTCCACGGCATCTCAAGATGAGTCTCCATGCTGTTTTTCAAATAACATTTATTTTAGTTTGGAAAGACTAACCATGGAAGATCGGGGGGGGGGGGGAGGATCTCCATGGGAGCTTCTAAGAGATAATTAGGATATTAAGATCTAAGAGATATTTAATAAATTGTAATGCTTCTGAATATGCATAAATTCACTGTATGACATAGTGTCACCCACACATTTTTCATGTAAGTTATATGCTCATTATTGAGATTTCCATCAGACACGGTTATTTTGAACTAGCCTCTTGAGTTGTATTGCAATAAATTCGTGCTTGGCCTATAGAACTGTACATATTTGAAACTTACTGTGCAACATTGGATATGAAAATGTTTATTCTGTGTGCAACTATCAATTCAACAAATAAATATCAGTGCAATCCTGCATATGCCTACTCAATAGTTAGCCCTACTGAGTTCAATGAGTTAGGCTGCAAGCAGAACAGTAAGCCCCACTGAATGCAACAGGACTTAAGTAGTCATGGTTAGAGTTTTAAGTAGACATGGTTAGAGCTGCACATGGTTACACTCACATAAGTCTGTATAGGACTGGAGGCTTAAGATGTTTACCATGTACCACTGAACAATTTGATAACTATTTGCCTAACCAAAAGCAATTCCATAGGATAATGCCTAAACTTTTGCATAGGGAAATAATAAGCTAAACCTGAATTATTCATTTTATGATACGTTATTATCTACGTGCTGCTGTTTAAAGATCTGTATTTATTTAGGATATTTTAAGATCTGTTTTAAATACATTTTTATATTGCATTTTTTTTGGTAACTTATATGCAGCTTCGTTAACCTCTACAGAGGTGTATGGATAAAATCCTCCCCTGGTCAGAGGTTCAAGATGTGTTGTGAGTTCAAGTCCTGGCAAGTGGAAAATCAGCAGATGTGCAATGTGGGGGGTTGAATACTTAACATTCACTTAAGCTACAAAGCAGTGGTGGGGGGAACAGTTATTACAAAAATATCAGGACAGGAAAATGAGCTTTATTATCCCTAGGCAACACATTGGCAAAATATGAGAAGACCAGTGAGAGTCTTATTTCCTAAAATATTCTTAACAGGAGACTTTTAAAAAAATCCTTCCTGAGGCAACCACAGATTTGTTCCATGGCATTTCAGGAGGTAGTGTCTTGTTATCTCTCTTTACTGCACTCTCCCCCACACTAAAAAGATTTTGTGAGCTGCCTACAGTTGGTACCTATTAAGTTGACTAGCCTATATACGCCCCCAGTTCCTGTGACAATATGTTTTCCTATTGAAGGTGATTGACGCAGGTGCTCAAAGCTGAGATCAAACAATATGAGAGCTTATTAACTTCAAATGCTGTGAAACTGGGTGTGTGTGGCATTTTCTTTTTTAACAGTCCATTCTTTTCTTTTTTTTTTTTTAAAAAAACCCCCACCCTATTTTTTTTTTTGTTTCATGAAACTTGGCTATCCAAGGTACGCTGCTACAAGATTCTTCTGCCCAAAGGCATTAGTATTCATGAGTCATCACAGAGGTGAATCAACTCCTTGCTCATCTATATCCAGTATCCCTTGGATAGAGAAAAGGAGTCCACCCCTACCTTAAAGGAATGCCCAGTGTAGATGAACGGGGCGTATGCAGTCCAGTTTTAATTCCCTTTAGACCAGGCATAGGCAAACTCCACCCCTCCAGATGTTTGCGACTACAATTCCCATCATCCCTGACCACTGGTCCTGTTAGCTAGGGGTGATGGGAATTGTAGTCCCAAACATCTGAAGGGCCAAAGTTTGCCTATGCCTGCTTTAGACTGTCAGTTAACTGATGACACCAAGCAAATAGTTGACATCAGAAAATAAAGAAATATAGAAAAGTCATACAAGTTTCGTATCTCTGCTCTTGCTTCCTCAAGTAAGTTGTGTCCATACTTGGGGGGCAACGCTTGTGGAGATTTCAAAGGTCGGATTTCTACATCCTGCATTCTCATTCCTAAAAGAAGACGGGAGTGGGTGGAATGAGAAAAATCAGAGAAGTATGTTTACTGAAAGGTAAGTGACTAAAAGGAGGGGGGGAAGCAGTAATCACACATACTGAGCATTATCCTACTATATTTGTAACAGCCTTGAATTTAAGCCAGGGAAAGCCAACATGATGCTCTTCAGAAGTCTCCCATCATTCCTCACTAATGACCAAGCCGGCAAGTGTCGATGGGAAATGGAGTCCAACAACATTTGGAGGACCACAGGTTTGCTACCCCTGTTTTATAGAGAAGGCCCAGAACCTAGTGACTTCATTTGGGGTTGCAATATATCTGGTCTGACCATTCTTCCATCTAGACAAAATTGTCAGTTGAATGGCAGCAGCTCTACAGGGCATCACTCAAAAGTATTTTTCTAGCCCTGCCCCTCTATATTCTTTCTAGCTTGAGATGCCAAAGAATCAAAGGCAAATCTGTGACCTTCTGCATGCAGAGCTCTATTGCTGGACTATGGCTCCCCTTACTAAGCCAGGCCATTGGTCTCTCTAGCCTAGTATTTTCCTCTCTGACCATCAGTGGCAATTAACCAAGGCCTCAGGAATGGACCTTTTCAAGCCCAGCTTTCCTTTATGCCAGGGACTGGACCCAAGACCTTCTACAGACAGAGCAACTGCTATACTGCTAAACATAATGGGCATTTAGATGTCAACATGTATTTTAATTTGAAGGCTGTACTCAACTAAGTACTAACCAGATGAGACCCACTGAAATTGATGGACCTAAATTAGTCAAGTCCATTCATTTCAGCACGATTTTAATATGGACGTTTTTAAGATTTGACTTCATTCATATTTTGGTTTTTTTAAAACTTGTTTTTAACCTTTTTATTGACAGTTTTAATGCATATCTTATAGCCTTTGTAAACTGCTTCAAGGTTTTATTTACAATTAAGTGGCATATATGCTGTGTTAAAAAAATAAATAGGCTTATTAAAAATGGTGGCATGGATCCAAAGGCCAGTGAGATTCATTCACAGCATACTCACTAGAGTTTTGGAGCTGTTTCCTCTAAAATGACAACCCCCTCCTTGCAATGTTACTTGGCGATCCTCTTTTGAAGTTGAGGGGTGTTCTACAAACATTATGGCAATATGGCATGGAGGGCAGCTGCTATTCAAAGGAGGAAAAGTAAAACAAAACCCAGTGAGTACACTCATGCCTTTGGCAGCAAGTAGCTTTTTGGATCCTGGCCAGTTTGTCTAAATTCTAAACATAACAGCATACATTCCTCATTACAGTTAGAAGTCACTGCTGTTTTAGGCCACAGTTTTAGCAGGGAACAGATTCTGAAGGGCTTGCAGGAAAATGGGGTTACTACATTTGATTTCAACCAAGTTCTGGAAGCTCATGGAGATTTTAGTTCGCATTAAAGCAGTTGTATTAGCCTATCCAGTGCTTGACAGTGATGTTAGAATGCTATGTTTCTTCCCTTTACAAATACTTGGAATGCATTGGGCAAAGGCTTCGTTACTGCTCCAAACGGGGAGGAAAAGGAATTAAATCAAAAATATGAGAGACAGCAAACAGTCTGCCCAATGCATCCCAAGAGGCTAGAACTCATGTGATAAAAATAATAGGAAATTTCCTAGTACTGTACATGGAAGCAGGGATATAATGGCAGACCTGGCTGTAACTATTAGGCACTGTTATCTATAACTGTGTGCCAAAAATAAATAAATATCAGAGCAACAAAGTAAATTATGCAAATGAATTGCATTAAGGGTGATAGCCAAGATAATTTTAATTTGCTTTTAAAGGTCCAGCTTTTACAAGAACCTACTTTTATTTCTTTCATGGGCTGATAGATGAAAAGGAGGTAAATATATACGGTGGCATCTGATGCATGTCCTATTCAGAGTAGACCCACCAAAGTTAATGAAAACAACTAACATAGGATCATTAATTTCAATGCTACTCTGAATAAACACTGTTGGATAAAAGCCATAAAGATTTTGAGGATTTTAGGAGCAGCTGCAAATAAGTGTGCTGAAGCCAACTCCACCTTAAAATTGAGCACTTTATGCTTGGATACTATTTGACCTGTGAAATTTCAAGCCTTCATTCTCAAGGATGGAGAACCTGTGGCCCTCCAGATATTGCTGGGGACCAATTCCCATCAGCCCCAGCCAGCGTTGTCCCTCTGTGGACCGAAATATTTAAAAGACAAAAGCCAACAAACACAAACCCTTTTGATTTAGGGCTTGCTCCAATTAATCATGGCCAAGGTTTAATGTTACAAAGCATAGATGCCAAGGACCATCTTTAAGTAGACATTCCTAATCTTTCCCACACAACAGAGTATTCCTCTTTTAAGAGGATGCCTGCTATGATAAATGAGTGTGCTGTCTGGAAACAAGCCATGTCTTCTGATTCAGAAGTTTTGATTCTAGCCACATGCTGACTTATGTAAATTCACTCAATTGGTTAATCAACTATGGAATGCTCTCCCCAGGGGGAAACACCTGGTGCCACCACTGGCTGCTTTTAGGCACCCGGCAAAAGCATTCATTTTCAGCCAAGCTTTTGAATGAACTCATTCGTTCATTTATCTACTTACTACATTTATACACCACTTTTTCCTCCATAGAGCTGTTGCCCATTTTATTCCCACAACAGTCAGCCATTAAGCTTCATGACTGAGTGGGTATCCAAACACTGGTCTTTTGGGCTATAGTCTTTTACTTGTCCTCTCTTAGTGGGTGAGATCTGTTAGGCTTCTTTTTATGTTTTTATTTTGTTCTAGCTTTATACTGATTTAATTTTTTTTGCATTGTATCAAAAGTCGCTTTGTTTTTAAAATTTATATACTGCCCTTCATCTGAAGATCACAGGGCAGTTTACAGTATAAAAACACAAAAATACACCACATAATAACAAACAAAACAATACCCTTCAGCTTAAAAGGCCATAGATGGTATAATTAGCCAAAGGCCTGGGAGAAGAGGAATGTTTTCGCCTGGTGCCTAAGATATGTAATGAAGGAGCCAGGTGAGCCTTCCTGGGGAGAGCATTCCATGAACAGGGAGCCACCACAGAATAGGCCTGTTCTTGTGTTGCCACCTTCTAGATCTCATAGTCACATGAAGAAGGGCCTCAGAAGATGGCAGTATCAGGCAGATGACAGTCCTCCCTCTGTCTTATCTCACCTGCTTCATCTGGCTTCTGGGACAGATGTTCCTCTGCCCAAGGGTCTGATCAGCACTGCTTCTCAAATAATTTGCACGAGTCAGGGTTTAAAAGGGGACAGCTTGCTCATGTACCTTTCTTTGCGCGCTCCTGGACACCAACACCCTCCACCGCTTTTTTGAGACCTGTGTTAATGCGCGCCTGGACATAACTGTAGGGCGTGTGCCGCGGGCCGTGAAGCTGGAGCTGCTGCTTGGTTGAAATGAGCCTGTTGCGGACAGCTTCATTTTGCTTCTCCAGTTCCCGAACTTTCTCCTGCAGCTCCTCAATCACTTCCTCCATCTCCACGTCCTGACCCAGCCGCTTGGGGCCGCCACCGACCTGCTCAGCTCTTTTCTTGTCGTTAACAAGCCGAATTAACTTGGTGGCCATTCTGAGGGGGGAAGCGGGGGGGAGAGAGAGAGAGAGAGAGAGAGAAAATACAACTTATATAAGATGAAAAAGGTGGTGTGGCGGCGGGGGGAATTAAGCATAAAAAACATTCTGTTGAAAGGAACATAATCACTGTGAAGACTTCAGTGCAGAACCTGAATAATAAATTTCAGGTTTTGATATAACTATTACTGCCTGTGAAGAACTCTTTGAAGATAATTGAAACCACTGGATAGCAATCTGCTTTATAGCACTGACAAATAACAGTTTCCTAAGGCTTATCATTTAAAGTTTAGTAAAAGGGAGGGACGCATATTTACTCCATATGCTGCTCAAATTTGGAACGCATGACCTTCCTGAGGAACTCTGCATGCTGTTAAGTATAGTTACAGATTGGGGATGTGGTGGGGCCACGTATAAAAGCTTCAGTCCCATATGATATTAAGCTATCCAACGCATGCTTACAATATGTAACACATTCCATTGATGTAGTGCTTCCAGTTTGAGTGCAAAAGTGGAGGACCGCCCCCCCCCCGAATTTCAGTTCTAAAAACAAGTAGGTGGGCAGGCTCAAAGGCAGGCCTTTAATAGCTCATGTCGCCTTGCTACATCTTACGCTTAGCAAATAATACCAGCGTGCTTAAGAGAGGTTTAACAGTTAGCCGTGGGATATAATTGGATGCAGGAGGTATGGTTTTCATCTAGCTTTAAAAGGATACAAATTTTGCTTTTGGCATCTCAAGAGTTGTACCTTTGATTTCTCTTAGTTTTGATAAACATGGGGAAGCCAGAACAAAAGACAGAGAGGGCACATGGGGGTGATGTAACATACAAGAGCAGAAAACACTTCCAGCAATGAATAGGGTTGCAGAGGGTTGGCGTGGGGTGGGGGTGGGGTGGCTTGGGTGGGGGGTTCGGGGAAGGACTTGGCATACAAAGAAAGAAAAGGTGGCTTTGATGGAAGAGAGAAGTTCAAGACTTTACAAAATTGGTCGCACATCTTCAAGAGCCGTATCTACTTTATAGGGAGGCTTTTTTCATTTTAAGAGATCCAGACGGGAGACTGAAAATAGAGACGCACTTCATTTGTTTGAAATGCTTTCCTTTATTTCAGTACAGTATACTGACAATCTTCTTATTTGAAAGAACAAACGTATACATGCGGAGGAAGTTAATAGCTTTGAGATGTCACAGAATAACTTACTCGCCTGTAAGCTATTATCTAAAGCAGCCTTGTAAAATAGCCCCCAAAAGTTATTAGCTTGTGTTTTGTTTGGTTCTTTCCTCATCACCTACTTTTTACTCATGGAGGGGCTGGTACAAGGTGGATGGAATGCTCTGTTCCGCCTAAGCTAGTTCTGCTTAGGAGTAAAAAGCAGGAGAGTGAATCAGTGCTGCCTGCTTCCTCCAGCAGCCTGCCTGGTGTCTATTCCAAGTGAACAGCAAGGTGGTTAACCTCCTGTGCACCCAGCACAGAACTGTAGTGGACTGGCAGTGGAAGAATAAAGCCACAGCTGCCTACTCACTCAATTCTGATGTTGTATATTCAGTATGGGGTTTTGTCTCCTGCACGCCCAGCCCAGCAAGCTGGCAGCAAAGGCAGGGATTGTGCCACTTCTCCTCCCCAACTCACCATATATCCACACTAGGCACCCTGGAGATTTGCCAGCAGTTTGTTTAGCATAGAAACACAACAGGTTGGTGACGGAGGAAAGTAATGCTCCTTCTCTCTGCAGCCAGCCCTCTTGGTTCTTATGCTGGATGCTTAGGAGTGATCTTGAGCTACTGTACAGCAGGAGGTTGATAGACGAGACTGAGTGATCCTTCCCACCTGTGGGTGGGAGTCCACTCATTTCATGGGAGGAAATTCCTAAGAGGCTACAGCAACCAGGAGAGTAGTTAAAACCCAGGGCTGTTCTCAAATGTGTAGCAGAAACAAAGAAAAATCTGTTTACAATGAGAATGAGTATCAAAGCCAATTGTAACAGTGGAGAAAACAGGTTAAAGACCAGTTAAGTTGCAGAAAGGGTGTTGCATCCCACATAAATGGCTGAGTTTCTCTCTCTCTCTCTCTCTGTGTGTGTGTGTATAAAAAAATATTGTTATTATATGAACCACTTACAAATTTTCTTAGTATTGAGGAGTGTATAAATGTATTAAATAATAATAATAATAATAGCTGAAAGTATGTAAACAGCTTACGTAACCCAGGCTTATCTTTTACCATTCCACTGAGAGGCAAAGGTCCCCAAACTTTTGCTTTAGAAGAAGAGAAGGAAGTCTGACCTTTTAATTTTATCTTCTTGCTTATGTGCATGTTGCTTAAGTAAGAGGTTCTCCTCGTGCAAGCGAAAGTATTGGTCTTCCAGCTCCTCTCGGCTGATTCGCGAAATCCCATGTCGAGCCTTGACATTTAGGACCACTGATGGCTCTGCAACAGAGAGGATGTCTAAGGGACCATATGGATTACGCATATCAGAAACTTGCTGAATATGGGCCCTACCACCATTTTCTCAGTTGCTGTTGGAACATAAATTGCTTCATGTCTTCTGTGGAGCCCTGGGTGATTGGAAGATGACTAGAGTGTAACTGGCAAAAGACAGTCATTAAAAGATTTGGGGCATGAGGTCATCAGTATAGTGACAACTCTAGTCCTCTGTTTGAGGAGGAGTCAAGAATGACTGTGCGTGACCTGAATGCAGTAATGGACTAGATGAGGGTCAATAAACTTGATGAATCCTTTTAAATTTGAGGCCCTGTGGGCAAGGGATGCAGGCAATTCCCCTATTCCGAATGGGTCTGGGCTCTCTTTGAAGGAACAAGTTATGTAGCATGGTGATGCTCCTTGATCTATCGCTGGCACTAGGGGATCAGGTCACCTTAGCGGCAAGGGGCACCTATGATCATCTTTGGCTGGTATGCCAGCTACAACTGTTCTTGGACAGGGATGACTTGGCCACAATGAACCATGCATGCATTGGTAACCACAGAGACAAGACTATTGTAATGCACTCTATGTGGGGATGCATTTAAGGCTAGTCCTGAAATTGGAGCAAGAGCTGTTCACTGTGCCACAGCCTTCTGAAGTCCATCACATGGCTATTCATCAACAGGCCTATTCTGCGATAGCACCTATTCTACAGAACAGCCTCTATTACAAGTTTTGATTGTTGTAAATGCCCTTAATAACAACTGAACACAAAATGGTATAAAATTATTTCTCTTTATAGTATATTTGCACTAGACTGTCGCCATAATGTTTAGCGAGGTTCTAAAGGCAGGGACTGAAGGACACCAGGCAAAATTAGTGAGAAAGTCTGCCAGTTCCCTGGTCCACTTCCACTTCACCTGCCTTGCTGACCTGTTGCTGGCTGCTCTTTACCCAGTGGGGGTTAAGAGCTCTATACGTGTTCAGGGGAACTTCTTTTGAATGCAGGGAGCTGTTCCCAATTCAGTCACCAGCGTAGAGCAAATCCAGGCAGACCTGGTGGGGGTGGTGGTTGGCAAGTAGAACCCCAGGGAGTGGGAAGAGCCCAGATAGTTGTTACTACTACTACTACTACTACTACTACTAATGCTGTGAATACATGTGTTCCAGACTCTATTGCCAGGCTTCCACAACCTGAAGGTGTTCTGTATTACAACTAGCAGCCCCAGGCATGGAAGCCTAGGTATGCTCTCCAGGAGTGCTCAGTCCAGACCCTCTTTTCAGTTTCCTTGACCCTCTGGATAAATTTTTCCTTTCAAAGGAGCCAGCTAATTAAAATGTGTAAGAAGTGGAACAAACCTTGTAGCCCTATGAGATTTAGACCTATGTCTCTCACCGGTAGATCCTCTGATGTTTCGTCAGCTGCAGCAGACATGACTGAGCTGTGGATGACAAAACCCAAAGAAAGATTCTCTCTGTAACATAAAATTGCACAAGCATCGCACACTGTAAATTACGTGAGATTAAATGAGTGTGAAAAGTAATGACAGATTCTGGCAGAACTCTTTTATTTCATCTTCACCACACAGAAACCACAACACCAGGGGCATCATAAAGTTCTATTTTAAAAGTTGTTTGGCATATAATCATATTCATTCATATAGTTTAATTTTTTTAATGTAGATTTTGCAGCTCTTAATTCCAGATACACATGCCCATGTAGAGTGTACTTGATTTTGTAAAAAAAAAAAAGTCAACAGGGCTACATGAATCAAAGGGCTTGTAGTTTCAGCACACAAAACAAGCCAATATTGTGCTTCAATAACCTTGGACCTAATTTGCTGGTTATACAAGCATGAGAGTGCTATGGTTCCCATGTCCTGCAGATAGGCTTCCCATGGGCATTTGGCTAGCCACTGTGAGAAAAGAATGCTGGAGCAGGCAGGTCTTTGGTCTGATCCAGCAGGGCTTTTCTTAGACATACAGTACTGCACAATGCAGAATAGGTTCCAGAAAGCCACAATTTGAATAGATCAAGGGTGAGATTCTAGAGTCGTCTATTTGAAAGTCTTCCCCACTGATTGGAGGACTAGCTTCTGAGAAAACACATATTGGATTACATGGAAACCTTCATACAATTAATTGTGGCTGCAAACCTACTTGGGTTTAAGTCCCACTGAAATCAATTAGATTTACTTCTGTGCAAACATGCACAGATTCACATGGCACAATTTTTGTCAGTCGGGTGACCCTAATTTTATATAACATAAGGATAGAACTGTATCAGTACTCTCTGCTGGATACCTCTGGTGTCAGAGACAAGGCAGGTGGCAATTTGCAAACAGGGAGAGGGCATTTTCAACTTTAGTGCCCTATCTCCTTTGCAGTGAGCTCACCTGGTACCTACCTTGCAATTTTTTAAGTGCCAGGCAAACACTTTACACCGTATTCTGTTGCTTTAATTAAACTGTTGTTTATTCACATTGCTTGCTTTAGGCTTCACACCCACATATGTTTATCTGAAACATTTATATACTACCTGGAGCCTATTTGGGTTTTCGTACTGCCAATTTTAGCACCGTAAAAATACAATAATAAAACAAGAGGCACAAAGCTTTAAAACAACTAAAACCACAGTTTAAATACCCGAGTGAGATATTTTAGCTGCATGGTATGTTTGTGTGACAACAAGGAGAGTTAAAAAAAATGCAGCATGGGGTCAGGATATATATCTTGGAACATGTCAGATAATAAGAAAAATGCTGTAGCTGAGTAGCAGAGCATTTAGAAGGTCCTAAATTCAATCCCTTGAATCTCCAGATATTTATTTTATTTACTATTTATTGCATTTATATCCCACCTTTCTCTCCAAAGACTTCAGGTGGCGTACATGGTTCCCCACCTCCTCATTTAATTCCCATGACAACCCTGTGAGGCAAGTTAGGCCGAGAGATTGTGACCAGCCCAAGGTCACTGGTGAGCTTCATGGCTGAGCATGGATTTGATCCCTGGTCTCCCAGGTCCTAGTCTTACACTCTTACCACTACACCACTAGAGACCCTTGCCTGAAACCCTCTGGAACTGCTGCCAGTCAGTGTAGATAATATTGAGCTAGATGGACCAATGGGTCTATATTCCTATGAAAGTTCTGAACACTCACTTGTTCCTGTTTTTTGGAAAAAAAATGGTTTTGTTCTTCTGGTTGTTTTTGCTCTAATTATGAACTATATGGTGGTAGTGCTCTGGATGTTTATTTTTACTGATGCCTGTTCACTAGAGAAACCTCCCGCTCCCCCACTATTTCACTTTAAGAAACATGCCCAAGTTTGCTCATTTCCTCCTCCCTCCTCACATTTTTCCCTTTTGTATCATTTATTTCATTTTGTTGAACAAAAGTTATATACTGCTTAGCTGCAAGAAACACCTAAGCGCTTTACAGAGCTAGACAATAAAACTTTTTAACCGTCTTGTTTTAAATGATTATATGCAAGTCATTCTGGGAGCCTTTTTTTTTTGCTGAAGAGCAGGGTAAAAGAAGCTAAATAAATAAAAGTTAGCTTTCAGTTCTTTTATTCTCATTCCTTACAGTGTTGCATTTTAATCGTATGCTACCTTGGGAGGATTCCCCTTCTTTAAAAACATTGTTACATTAAATAGTAACAATGAGCAACAAATACATCCTTCCTTTTTACTGGTAACATTTTATTTTCTTAACTTACAATATACAACATTAGAATGGCTTGACGGTGGGGATGTGGAGGGTAACAAACAATCCAACAACTTTTCAAATGAGTTAAATAAGAAGCCATTTACACACACTAATTTATTTCGATTTTAAGATGTGCAGTATCTAATTAAAACATCAAAAGCAAAAACATCATTAAAATGCAAGCCAATTCCCTTTTTAAAAAAATAAAAAGAGGTACCAGCTATCAAATCACCCTATGCAAAAACAAGCACCATATCAAATCCCAGCCTAAATATGCATACATTTACATACACTGCAGTTTAAATTTGCATAAAAATCTCCCCTTGCCACCTCAGAGCCAAACCCCCTACAAAACCACCCATTTCCTAGACATACTTCCCCTCCCCTTCCCTCCGCCGGAGGCCCCAATCCAGCAACTCACAGCTGCCCAGTCCTCCTCCTCCTCCGGTCCGCCTTCGCCCTCTCCGCATCCCTCGTTAGCAACCGCCTCCGTTGCTATCCCTCCAGAGTCACTTCCGTTCTCGTTCAAGGGAAGGCGGGGAAAGAAAGAAAAAGGGCGAGCTTCCGCGCGGACGCCTTTTCCCGCCGCAACCACCGCAGAGTCTGCCGGGAGTCGTAGTTCTAAGGAGGATAATTCCCTTGCGAACCTGAAGCAGCTGAGAACTACTGAAGGCGTGCGCTTCCTAAATATTCCCCTTCCCCGCCCAGCTTACCGCTAGCGGAAGTTTCAGCGTGCATTGTGGGAGTTGTGGTTCCTCCTGCCAAGCCCTGCTGGCTATGCAATTTTTTTTGTCCGGAAGGAAGGAGGCTATTCTTCGCAAGGGCGGGCCTTTTGCATGCGAGGCAAAGTGCGCAGCCCGGGCAGGAGAGCGGCATGAAGCGGAGAGGAGCAGGGGAAAGAGAGAAGGATGTCAAGGTAATTCACAGCTAGCTCTGTGCAGGTGGAAATACCATTGGACCATTGCATCCCCTCTTTTCTCACAGCCAAGAGCTGTTTATCTGCTCATTGCATTTGCATTTGTACATTTATATCCCACACTTTTCCTCCAAGGCGATCGAGGCAGCGCACATGGTTCTCTTCTCCCCCACCCCACCCCTTTTACCCTCACAACAACCCTGTGAGGTAGGTTAGGCTCAAAGTGCCCCGAGGTTAACTGGTGAGTGGCGACTTGAACCCCAGTCTCCCAGATACTAGTATGACAGCCTCACCACTACACCACACCAGCTCCGAGTTGCTCCCCATTGTAATGTACATCGCACAATGGTACAAGCTTCTGCATAGTTCATTTCGAAAGAAGGCCCACAGATTTTAATACAGTACATGCTTATTTTTAAGCAAGCCCCACTTGTTCTCAGTTAGGTGTGCAATGGACCGCTTACCTTACTTCTCCATCAGCATGTATGTACTGATTTCAATGGGGCTTAACTTTGGGTTCAGGATTGCAACTTTGTAGCCAGATCTTTTAAAAATAAATAAATAATTTTTTATTAGTTTTCCAATATTACCCCAATTATACAAATACCAATTAATATCAAATAATTCAAGATTTATACAATTTATTTAGAGTGGTTTCCCACGCTCCATGATCAGTGCATTCATCCAGTTCTTATATTACTGCGATTCATATTCTTATTAACTTCAAATTACATTTCAATTGATGTATTAATCTTTTAAATAACAACTGCATTAGTGATTTCTCTTCATGTTTTTATATTATTTAACTTTTCATAGGATTTCAAATGGGGAGCTCTAATTATTATTATTTTTCACAGCATGTGTCAGTCTAAATATGTTCAGTTATGGATTCCTTGGCCTTTATCTGCTGTCCCATCCTTGAAATTCTACCACTGTTGCTGCTGTGTATTCCCAGCTGGGGTGGAGCTGTATTCCCAGAGATTCTCGAAAGATGTAGCCTGGTTTTATGTATATTTACTTGGAAATAAGCCTCAAAACTATTGGTACGATTATTTATTATACTTTTGTTCCATCCTTTGTCCCAAAGGAGCCCAGGGGAGTATGCAACAAAGTACAGTTGCAATAATCAAAACAAATTAAGCATAATATCATAATAAAATACTGCTAAAACAAATAAATACAGTTGGTTTAGATAAACATGCATAATCTTGCAACCTTGTTGCAACAAATCCTTTGTATTTGTTTGGCTCTTATATTTATATTCTGCTCTTTGTCCATGATTCTTGCTCCTGCCCCCCTGTGCTTTTATCTTTACAATAACTTTTTGAGGTAGGCTAGGGAGTGAGATATTTACTGGCCCAGGATCACTGGCTGAGCTTCATGGCCAAACGGGGATTTAAACTTGAGTTTGCCAACTCCTAGTCAGACACTCAGACCTTTATTTTACTCTGCTGTTTACTTGAAAATGTCCCACTGATTTAATTGGAATTCATTCCCTATAATAATTCACTTGATTGCAGCCTTACAGGATCAAAGAGTGATTTAACTATGGTAGCACAGAGTACCTTCCATAAGCTTTGACTGATGTCCCAGCTGCAACGCTATCTGGACAGGGGTAGCCTAACTTCTGTTGCCTTTGCTCTGCTATACTTGAGGTTAGATTACCGTGAAACATTATACAGTGGTACCTTGGGCTAAGTATTTAATTCGTTCTGGAGGTCCGTTCTTAACCTGAAACTGCTCTTAATCTGAAGCACCACTTTAGCTAATGGGGTCTCTTGCTGCCGCCGCGCCGCCAGAACATGATTTCTGTTCTCATCCTGAAGCAAAGTTCTTAACCCGAGGTACTATTTCTGGGTTAGTGGAGTCTGTAACCTGAAGCGTATGTAACCCGAGGTACCACTGTGTGTGGCGCTCCCTCTGAAGACTGTTTGGAAACTTCAGCTGGTGCAGAATTCAGCGGCCAGGTTGCTTACTGGGGCAAGATGGTTTCAGTCTGTGGTGTAATACCTTTGGTGGCCCTTACACACACATGTAGTATCTCTTACAACCTTCAGCCAGCAGCCAGACTTTTTTTTGTTTAGATATGCTGGATAGCTCAGTCGGTACAGCATGAGACTCTTAGTCTCACGGTTATAGGTTCGAGCCCCAGATTGAGCAAAAAGATTCCTTCATTGCAGGGGGTTGGACTAGATGACCCTTGTGGTCATTTCCAACTCTACAACTCTACGATTCTATGCCTCAGAATAGTTTGATGACACAGCACACACTTTGCATGCAGAAAGTTCCAAACCTCATCTAAGCATCTCCAGTTAAAAAAACAAACCAGATGAGGAAAAATCTCTGCCTGAGACCCAGAAATAGGTCAGCCTTCCTCTCCAGATGCTGTTGGACTCCAACTCCCATCAGCCCCAGTCAGTATGGCCACTAGACATGGTTGATGGGAGTTGTAGTCCAACATCTGCAGGGCACCATGTTGGGGAAGGCTGGAGTAGACAGCCCTCAACTAGGAGAGCAAACAGCTTCACATCGCCTTATGTAACCTCCCCAGTCTTCCAGTCTTCCTTGGGACTCCCTTTCTTCCCTATCTTGCCGTGCATAAATTTCTCCCGCATTACGATTTTTCGTCCAGGGAAGTATTTTGCAGAGATGCTCTTGTCAATGGAAATTTTCCGGTGGGAAGGGCCCCGATGGGGCATTATTGGCCTCCAAATGCTATTAATGTGACAGCTTATTGAGAAATGGTGTGTGTTTGATGTAATGCATTACCTATATGTTGGAAGCGGTGCACAGATTCAGGGAGGGGTGCGTGTGAAACATAAGATGGAGAGCGTGGCAAATGTTCTCTGCTTTAAAATTCATCACACCGACGCCGGTTCAAATTGCCCCAGCTGTTAACGCAGGGACCATTACAGTAATGGCCTCTGCAAATGAAGGAGAACCAACACACACACACTTTATTACCAGCGGGGTAATTTTCTCTTCATCTGTAATAGCAGCAGAGCCACGTATTGATCAGCCCATCAAGATACTAATCCTCTGTAAAATTACTTGTTATAACTGAAAATGTGTTAATCCAAATCAGCCTGTGTCCTGACTTTCTACTTGCTATTGAATACAGGCCATTAGATCGTTTATTTTTCATGATTTAAAGCCTTTAAACATTGATAACAGTTGGATCTTCTTTTGCGAGAATGGACACTTAATCTTCACTTATAGCCCAAGGATGTCTTCTGGTTTTAAACAGAACATCACCCACTTAATTAAAGAGCAGTGTCTGTCTTGGCAGTCCTGAATTATGCTGGTGCTTTAGGTTGCTTCAGATTTATGAAGAGGCTAAATATAAAACTGGATGTAAACCTGTGTGTCTATGTGTTTGTGTGCTGTAAATAAGGCCAGGATGCATCTTGCCCAGGTTTAAACACCTGTGGATGCAAGGGTTATCTGGAAGTTCTGAGGATGTAAGGTACTTAAAATAAATATATATATTACATGTTTGCCTCACACTTTATTGAATTGTGTCTTGCAAGGATAATGTTTCTTAGACTAATGCATGAAAATCTACATTAGAGTTAGTATTGCAGTGCAGCATGAGCCCTGCTAGATAATCTAGTCTAGCATCGCCTACATTGACCAGCCAGATGCCTCTGGGAAGTCTGCAAGCAGGACAGGATGGCAAAAGCCTTCTCTTGTTATTGCTTTTCCCGCTGGAAAAGTCACTGAAATAACACATGAACACAGAGTCCAAAGAGAAAAGCCCTGATAACACCTTACTGAGCAAACTGAACAAAAACATGGTGTAAACTAAGGAAGAAGGAACAGAAATGTTTTGTCTTTCTTAGTTCAGACCCTGTGCAGGACAGGGAGACATACAACTACATTAACACAGGAAAGCCGCCTTGGAACTACACAGCCAATCAGAGTACGAGTTACCTCACAAGAATCATGCCGCTCTGGTTGCTAGGCAACACCTTCCCCCATCCCCTTCTTGGACTTGCTGACCACAGAATTAACCCTTAAGGCACACATGGAATGATCTCTGTTGCTGCCCTTCCAACAGTCCCCTCAAATTGAATTCAGTGTGGCATGTTTCCTCCACATCTGGAGGAAGTCTATAGCTATTACTGCTTGTGTCATCCATATTGTTAGACACCCTCCATGAATTGGCTTAATGCCTATTAAAGGCCTCTAAGAAAGTGGCATAATCATGTCTCATGGCAGAGAACTGAATATATTAATTATGCATTGTGTGAAGAAGTAAGTTTGTATTGTTCAACCTGTTTAATTTTATTTTCCATTCCTTAAAGCAGGGAGGCAGGCTGAATCTTCTTTCAGCCTGAGGGCCACATTGGAGAGCCTTCCTGGGACTACATTGGAGGGCCCCAAATTCTAGTACTATGAGAGCGGGAGGCAAAACTTCTCCATATCCACTTTCGCCACACCATGTGTAATGTTATGCACCTCTACCATGTTTTTCCCCTTACCTTTTCCTTAACTAAAAAGCCCCCACAGAAAAGCCATGGGTGTTCTACCAAAAAGGGTCTTCCTCTTTCCCTCTTCAGTTCACGTCAGGGCACTTAGAGCAAAGTCTCCGACGAGGATCTTAATTGCCGTATTTTTCACTCCATAAAATGCACCTAGTTTTTAGAGGAGGAAAACAAGAAAAAAAATATTCTGAACGAAACAGTGGATGTATGATTTTTGTGGTTCATGCTGTGGCCAGACATGTGATTTGACATTGAAATTGTGTGGTAGCCCAATGCAAAAATCCTGAGAATCCATGTGGATCCGTGCTTTGTAACCACATTTTTTGCGCCATAGCGGCCCCACGAAACAGTGGGTGTGTGATTTTTTGTGTGCAGGCTGTAGCCATGGACATGCTATGTGATCTGATGGTGAACTTGGGGTGACCCAATGCAAAAATCCTGAGGATCCATAGGCTTTTACCTCCCCCCTCCCAGGCAGCCTCCTTTATCGCTAGCGTCCCTTATTTCCCTCCCGATCGCTTGCCCATCAGCGGCTTTGTTTCAACACCCACTTCCCTCTTTCAAAAAAAAGGGGGGGGGAAAGCATGATCTGCTTTTCGCCCCTGGGCAATTTGGCTCCAGGGACCACGCATTTGCTCCATACATTTCCCCTTACTTTTTAGGAAGAAAAAAGTGCGTCTTATGGAGTGAAAAATATATTAAAATTAATTATACTCTCCTTGCGGCTGCTTCTGACCACATTCACACCTTACATGTAAAATGCTGTGATACCACTATATAAACAGTCATTGTCCCCCTCCCACAAGAATTCTGGGAGTGGTAGTTTGTTAAGGGCGCTGAGAATTGTTAGAAGACCCCTATTTCTTTTTCAGAACTACAGTTCCCAGAATGTTTTAACCATCAGTCCCTCTTCCCAGCGAACTCTTGGAACTGTTGCTTAGTGAGGGGGAAAAAGTCTCCTAACAGTTCTCAGCGCCCATTACAAACTACAGCTCCCAGAATTCTTTGTGGGAAGCCATAACTGTTTAAAGTGGTATCCTAGTGTATTGTGCAAATGCGGCCTTCGTGTTCCTATTTCCTTTTTTAAAAAATATAATAATTCCAGAAGTTTTGAAGTAAGGGAAAATGTGTATTGTTTGTAGTTCAGCAGCTTTTCCTCCATTGTGCTACCATTACACATGCCTCTCTACTTCCTCAAAGAATCAATTCTCTTTGAATTTTGCTCAGTTTCATTGTCTCTTTTTATCAGCTCCTCATCCCACCGCTTTTATTTAAGGTGATAAAGTTACTTTACTGCAACTGCGATTGTCACCTCTGCCCTCAGCTAATCAAATAGTTTAGCTGGAGGGAAGCATTTATCTCCCACTTCCATTATTATTATTTTCGTAGCTGTAAAGAGAATATATATATATATATATATATATATATATATATAATGTCAGGAGAAGGCTGTAACGGTGAAACGAGGTATTGATCTGCTGTATTTGGCAATTTCTTTCTACCTCACCATCGATATCATGTCAGCCTCTGACTGTACTGTGGTTGACCTCACAAATAGCTCTTTATGTTCCCATTGGATTCAAATGATATACTATGCTGAAAACTAAATCAATGAATGATTATAAAGTTTTGAGTATTATTTCATGACCCTGAGGCAACCGGTGCTTCATGAGCTGAATGCTTGAAATGATACCTAGTGTGGTAAAGTAGTTACTGCTGTTTGTGGGGGACGCTGACCCGGTTCTCATGAAGGTGGTTTAGCGTGCATGTGAGCATCACCTCACTTGGTAGTTTTCAGCCTTTTCGGACTCGGGATATACCTTTATCCCAAAGTGCTTTGGGGGATCCATTTCTTAAGTTTCTACCATATATGTGAATGGTAGTCGTGCTACTGTTGTGACCTACCTTTGATCAGGCTGTATTGGGTCCCTACCCACCCGTTGAAGACTGATGCCTTAAAATGTTCCTTTCTATAATCCCTGCACACAGAAAAACACTACAGAGGTGGTTAGGATAAGAAGTGTCATTCCTAACTCTGGTCTTGTGCTAGATGCTGATTCCTTGGAGAACAAACCACTAGACGCTCTGTAGCTCAAGGATCTTGCAGTACAGGGTCTCCTGGAAGCAAGGCTGAATATCCCCTTGAGGGACTCCCCTGGGGGGAGACCTGCTGAAGAACCCTTGGAGCTGTCAGAAGAGGAGGTGGAGCCATCCCTCAGATCTTGGGGAATGCTGGTGCCAAGGGTCTAGATTAAAGAGTGACAGTGTAGCTTGTGTCTATGGACCTAGAGTTGTCCGTTTGACATTAGTATATTGGAATTGTGGGTACTTGGGGATTGAGATTGCTATTAGCATATAGGAAAGGCAGATACTTAGGGGATGACTTCACAATTAGCATGGGTCCTTGGAGAATCAGTTCGGTATACAGTGGTACCTTGGGTTACAGATGCTTCAGGTTACAGACGCTTCAGGTTACAGACTCCACTAGCCCAGAAATAGTACCTTGGGTTAATAACTGCTTCAGGATGAGAACAGAAATTGCGCGGTGGCGATGCGGTGGCAGGAGGCCCCATTAGCTAAAGTGGTACCTCAGGTTAAGAACAGTTTCAGGTTAAGAATGGATCTCCAGAACGAATTAAGTTCTTAACCCGAGGTACCACTGTATGGGAAGGAT